TTATATCCCCCGCGACCGGCATATTTATCTGGGGGTCGCGACAGCAAACGAAGCAAGGCAAGGCAAGGGATCACACGTGTAGATAGGTCGGACAACAATTGGCTTCGGGGGAGCCGACGGGGAGCGGCGATGCATCCATCCAGGTCGGCTAGTTGCGACCGGAGGGCAGCGGAGAGACTAGACTAGTAAGGAAGCAGGGGACCAGGCAGTGGAGAGCTTCAGCTTCAACTCCATCGCCACTGAAGCCATCGCTAACGATGCATGTGCCTGATTCCCGCCTCAGGGATTGGTCAATGTCCTCAGGCACCCACATTCCCTGAAAGTGGGGCCTTCTCACGTTTGGAACTCTGATTGGCTGGCTACTGATATCAACCCAGCAGCATCCCGGCACGTGTTGAGGGGATGGCCAGCAATGGGATTCCTCCCATTTCCAATTTCTGGCCTGCATTGGATCAGGCAATTCTTCTAGAACTGGCGGGAAGCGTGAGAGCTACTTATCCAGCACTAACCTGCATAGCATCACACTGGCTCGCTTCAAGCCACTGATCTCTTTCCCGCACTAGCCTATGGTCAGATACCAGTCCAAAACGCAAATTATCGAGAGATGATGCATGCCCGGTTTTCATAAAACACCTGAAATGTATATATCCGGACTGAACCAAGGTCTGTTGCTGGATGGCACACGTGGTACCTGACTTGACATCTGAAATGGTGGGACATGACGTCCTTCCGAAAGCTACCAGATCTTGCCTCACAAGACAGGGCTGACAAGGATCAGATCCTGTCATGACGCCAGCCTCGTCTGGCGCATGGCCGGCCAGGCACTGAGCACGTGTGAAAAGTCAAGTCATCTACAGCGCATCCGCATACCTTTCTCGTATGCCACGCATAGGATATGGACAGGCATTCTATTTCACCACTCAGCAACCTGGTAATACCTTCTTCCACCTAAACTTACTCTTATTGGCGTATTAAAATCCGTATTATCAAGAGAATTCATGTGATAAAGTCTACGTACACATATAAAAAAGTAGAGATAGAGATACTCCTTCAAAACTAAGTATTATATATATATATATATTCCAACTTCTATTTCTATTTATGGCCGTATACACCAACATTAACAGCCACTTGCTTTAAGCAGCATTGGACTGAAACTAATCAATACCTTTTTCGTCAACGAGTTATAATCATGGCCAGGGGAAGAAGAGAAATATACATACTAAATACTAAGTATATATGCTATATCCCCCCACGCCAAATCTGTAGTCATGCCGATCAACTTATACAAGTTGAACGGGGCACGCGACCAGTCATTGTCATTACTTACTTGACTAAGAAGCCGATTATAGATTTCTGCACCTTGTGCCTGCACATAAGCAGAGATGAAAATGTCGGTGAAACACTGAACTGATGTTCGGTTGAAACCAAACACTCGAGCGAATGCATCCCGCAGAAGCAATCCAACGCAGGGATGAGAGTATATGAATCCGCGATTTCATCTACATCTTGACTCTAGATTATAAACAAAAATTTTACATAAGATCTTGGATATATACAGCTACCCCAATCGATCCTATAGTACGTCCTAGTCACTAACCACTCCACGGCCCCTATTACATATATACAAGTCAAGCCCCATCAAACACCAAACTTGCCGCCCTCCGGCACAGCCAAATAAGAGCACCCCTTATAATCGCACGTATTCTATGCAACACCATTAGCAAATGCCCACAACCAACCAACACCGCGATAGGAAAAAAAAGGGATAAACCATGAAACTCACCTTATAAACCTCGGTCCCCCACCAACTAAACCCCTTCGACGCGCCACTAAAATAAATCGCAAAGAAAATGACCACCCCGGCAATGGACACCGACGAATCCAATGCCGAACTCAAGACGAAATTATACTTATACCACCACTGATACACTCTCCTCCGAAGGAACCACCCAAACGTCAACCCCACAACCGCCCAACTACCATAACTGGTTCCCGTCGCGGGAGGGAGGTAATTCAACCCCCCAAGGAACAAAGGGATGTGGACTCTCCGCCAGAGCGAATTCGGGTAGCGGCGTTTCAGGAAGTAAACAGGAATAGGGAGGACCGCTCCGATGATGAAGAAGTACAGGAGGGAGCTGTAGCCGATGCCGTTGGTGAAGTAGTTGCGCGGGCCGATGGCGCCCCAGATAAGACTGGTGTTGAATTTGGTGCGTGAGAAGGGACAGCTGAAGCCGTTGACGGCGTCGGTGGTGCACACGCCCGAGATGTTGCCCAGACTCCAGTTTAGGACGGCGACGGAGCTGAGAGTCCCGAAGATCATGCCGACGCATTGGACGATGAAGACTTTGCGGGGTGGGATCTGGGTGTTTATTAGCATGTGTTGGGGGGGGTGGGAGGGGAGGGGTGGGGATGTACTTTGCAGTAGTCGCAGAGTTTCATGTCTTCGGCAAAGTAGAGGCCTTTGATGGTGGTGATGTAGCCGATGTCGAAGAACCAGATGTTGGCGAGGACTTTGCCTTCGAATACGAAGCCGGCTACGATGCGGCAGAAAATGTCGATGTTGATCTTTAGGTTGGATGTCGCGTAGACGATTGCGAGCTGGACATTGAGGTGTTAGTTTGTATCTCATTTGGTATGGAAAGTTGCACAAACCGGGCCGTAAAAGACCATAGCTACTGCGCAAGCTAGCAAAACGCCGTACCACCGCAGTTCGACATTCCAGTATTCCACGCTGAATATGCAAATGAAAAGTGCTAGTACGGCTGCACCTAAGTACCATAGAAACGGGACGTCACGGTATCCGGAGTTGGTATCTGTGTTTTTCTTGTCTTTAGAGAAATAGCTGCGCACAACATGAGGGACCCGCAGGGCGCCTGCCGCTATATCGTGGCGGTTCTCGAGAATAACCCAGACGAGAAGGGAGCTCAAGGTTGCGAATGACAGTCCGAACATGTTCAAGGCGTAGGTTACGGGCATGTAGACCTATAGTATTCCAGTCAGTAGAGACCGTGGACATTTAGCAGGCGCAACGTACCGGAGAATAGGCCTTGTATTTTTCAATGTCCAGTTTGTAGCCGGTCGCCTTGCTGACTACCTTGGACGCTTTGTAGGTGGTGCCAGTGTTATCATAGACTGAATAGGAGATGATTAGTATCGAGAATATGCTCTGACAGACGGCAAGCTGCATACCTGACGAGCTCTGGAAAGGAAGGTAGCCTGTATACCATACATTGCGGTAATAGCAAGCGACGGCGACAATCCAAATCCAGAATACCAGTGAGGAGAAAACATTAATGATAGCCCACGACGGAATCAGAAGCGGTGATCCGACGTAGGAAATCTGGCTCCCTTGGGAGATATTAGCCTCGCTGTGGAGTAGTGGGCTAGGTCACTCACAGTCAAATGTAATAGGTAGTAAGCCCATACCACTCTCCATACCAAAAAGCTGATTGACTACCGTGCTCTTCGGGTTGATCCAGCATGGGAAAGTGAAGTAGCTCAGCGCCGGGAAGATGAAATCAGGGAACCAGTACCAGCAGAAAGAGATGCAAAAGGCGAGACTGAAGAACGCATAACGAGACATTTTCCACGTATCCTTACTAAATTTCATTTAGATCCTCAACTTCGTTCCAGGTATCACAGATCAACACTTACACTCCTTGTAAATCCCCCTGGGCCAGGTTATGCAAGGTTGTCGTAAGCGAAGTCGTGCTCAACACACCCGGCCAGATAAGTTCCCTGGGGGCCACCACCACGGACCGAAAGAAGCCAGCCAGACAAAACCCGACCAGGAATGTTCCCAATGTGATCAAGATCTGGAATCCCCAGCCAGCTTTGTACCCGTAAAACATCTGTTGTTCCGTCAAGACGTCTGCTCCTAGCCGGACGTAGATACTGAGATTCGACATGATGTAGACTAGAACGTGTTCCTACATGTCGGACAACAGTTAGCACGGGTCAGACACTAGGATTCTGGCATACGCTTGTTCCAAGCTTACCTTCTGATTGAACGGTCCCGGATTTAAGTTGAATTGGCACACGCCGAGGTTGACATTCCAGCTCGGAATGGTCTTTTCCCACAGCTTGCCTAGCGGGTACGCCAGCAGCAGGGTCACGGAGGAGGAGATTGTGATGGATGGTTTTCGAAGTGTGTAAAGCGTGTTCAATCCACTGGCCACAATACAGAATCCAATGCCAAGAACCCACATTCTCAGGGTCAAAATGGGCTCTGTTGGGTCATCTTCATGGATGCCGATGCCTGCCGCCCGTAATACTTCGGTCTGGGAATTTACCTCGGCTTGTGATAGTGTTAGAAGCAACAACAGGGGCAGGAGGTGAAGCGAAAATTTTCAAACTTACCACGGTCGGTGTCCTCGACAGGGTAGACACTCTCCTTGTCGAGACCATCTTTGGTGTCGGTGGCCATTTTCCGCACCAGAATCAAGCGCTGAATAAGACCAGGACCATGGAAAGTTATCAGATCAGATAGGTAGCATCAGATAAGATCCCGGGCCGGAGTGCCTTAAATATATCCAACAAAATTTGCCAACAAGCCAGGTCACCGGGTGAGGGATTATTCTGCCACGGATTGTCGGCAACCCACAATCTCTCCCTCGGACTAGCCTAAGCCTTAGTGGGCCGTCTTTGGACAAGAAACCCCCAGCCCTATAAGGCGAATGGGTGCCTGTGGTTCCGGTGGACCCTTCGGGTTTCGTGTGCCCGCGCAAAAGCTTTCTTGGCGACTTGGCCGTGATCGAACCGACTTGGAATGTTGCAACCTGGCCAGATACCGATCCATGGTGATGGCATGACGGTAGGAATCTCTTCGAAGGGTCCGTATAATCTGCACCCGATTTAGCAGGTGCATTGTCTCAATTGACTAAGGTGTCAACACGGCTGTCCAGCGCGCAAATGGAGAAACAGGGGCATCGTGAGGAGATTGCACTTCTCCCGTGGTTCACATCGCGCTAGTGTGGTACTCGCATACTTAGCGGGTAATGAACGCCAAATCACTGGCGACATTAGCGAATCAACTGAGACAAGGCGCCTTATCTGATCCCTTTTGCCCGGATGATTGTGACTGCTCTAAGCAGTACGTAAGGTAGTCTCGCATTTCCGCGGTTCCCGCGTCATTCAAGTCCCCAAGCCAGAATTTGGCCTCTACCAAGGAGCTCTACAGCAATCTTAGAGTCAGAACAGGCCTCGTATGCTACATCATCTTCGCCTCGGAAGCCAAACTTGCGACCTCACCACGCTCATATTCCGAGCCCACAAGACGCAGCAAGTCGGAAATCCTTCCACATGTGGCATCCATGACGGGTCCACAAACGCATCCTTCTATTGATAACCCGTTTGTAAGCCAATGTAACACTCCTATCATCCTGCATCTGGCGTGATGTCTCCAGGAAGGCCTGTGGGTTCTATCGATCCTCATTTCACCCCACCAACGAGAGCTAAGCCGGAACTCCCCGAGCAATCTTGGCATTTGGTTAGAGAGGGGTCACTTGTGGAAACTGACGACGATGCGAGGTTGGAGCTTAGGTAGCAAGCAGGCGGGTATCAGGATTGCCGGTCGCTCAAAGACGACTAGTCACATCATAGGATAATTTCGGACGAGTCCACAGCTTCATCTGTGTTTGCTTTCTTTCGTCGGCTTTACATCGAGCTTCGGACATACGACTCAAAACTGTGGTTCCTGGCTATTTCTCAGGTGGGACTGCGAGCAGGGCTGTCCACCGGATGCGTGATTTCGTGCCTCGCGCCTTCAGGTCGGTCGTCCCACTCGAGGAACGGCTTTTCAAAGCCTAGCCATTACTACTCAGCCTTATGACAAGGCTGAGAGATTAAGCATTTGATTTCGTAATGGTATGTACTCGCTCTGGACTGGGGGCTGTGACTGGCCAGTCGAATGTTGAGTGATCGTAAATGCGATTCGGAAAGCAGTTTGCCGAGAAGACCTGAGAATTGCGAGCAGTTTTCTCACCTTTGAAGGGAAAGGGTCAAATCCAAATAGTAAATCACATTATCATTCCTCCGGAGCATTGGCGTCTTGCGATATTCGTCGTACGGGCAACTGCGGTGAAGTGCGCAGATGCGGTTAACAGTTGATGGCATGAAGTGGCCACAGGAAGGTTAAGGCTATCCCAGTTGTAGCGTGTAAACGTTCTGCTAGGCTACATAGGAAATTCTAACTGTTTGGCCGTGAATAGTGGCTAGTAGGGGCGCACATAACTGGTAGGGAACGTCCTATGTAAGAGTTCCCTCTCCTGAATGATCAACAATGGCTGAAATAAACGTACACAACGTTGTTAACAGCGAACGACATTTGATTCGGAATATGTGTCTACCATACCATTTATATTATGGGGCGTGCAGACTTTCGCGGAGAAAGGTTCCCACCCCCGAAAGAAGCCACAATAAGCGATTCTCAGCAAGATAGACTTCGAGACAACACCGGATGAGCCACCAAAACAGAAAGCTTGTCATTGCAAGGGGACTATCACATGCTGATCTGGAGTCTGACATCATCATTTGAAGTTGCTTATTTTTCTTTTCATCTTTACGATAATCCATCAACATCAGAGCTTTCGATATTTATTACTTAGAGCGTGAATACAATTTATGAGGAACAATGTCTTCGATGGCAGGAAACACACAACAGCCCACCCCCTTTTCCCCGGAAGCATCACAAACATCAGACCGCTCCGTCGCAAATACACATCATGACCCCCAACTCTTCCAACCGCATCATTTCTTCTTCTACGGCAGCCTCAGCGATCCTTCCTTCCTAGCGAAGGTGCTCAAATGTCAGGATAAACCGGCCCTGCGTCCAGCGACGATAATGGAGCATGATATGAGAATGTGGGGTGACTTTCCCGCGCTGTTGGATGGACGTCCCGAGAAACCAATTCACGGTGTCAGCTACAAGGTGCGTTCGCAGGCGGAGGAGAATCGGTTGGCGGAATATGAGACGGATATGTATCGGAAAAAGGGGTGCCTCATTGAGTTTAGGGATGGGTCAAAGGTCCCTGGGGTGACGTTTGTGTGGAATGCCGATCCGGGGTTGCTGAAAGACGAGGGGTTTGATATGGAAGACTGGTTGTTGGAGCAGAAAGAGAGTCGCGGTGAGGGTGAGATCGGAACGTGAGGAATTGGGCCTAGGAGTGCTCCTTTGTGTGGTCTTTCGGCTTTGAGTGACGTACGACCGTCATTTAGCGTCCCGTATCGATGTTCTATCATATCGGCTTTTGACGGAATGGCAGGTCGAAGCTCCTTTTTGTATGAGTGTTGCCTCCCACAGGAGTAGCCTGCTCGGCCACGTCATTCGTTTCATCCTTATTGATGGTACTCTCGCCGCGTTGATGGGTTTCGCCTCCCTCGTGCCGACTCTGGTGCAGTCTGTGCTTTGCACCGTCCACCTTCTCTTGCAATGCGCGCACCTTTCGCTTCGCTCGGGTGTACCCTTCTATACCTGCCAAGACAGCATATGACTTGCTGATTGAGACGTGTGACATGTCGACCCCTTGGTCTTGCAGCGAATGGATGAAGGCCCGGAAGTTCGCCGCAGGGGGACGATAATGGCCACTGTTGATGTCAGATAGAGGTACTGAAATATGACGGAAGTACACACCTCAGAGGTGCTAAACTACGTAGCTGTCCATTTCTTATCTTGATCAACCCAGCGGCTGCAATGCGAGCACCTCGAAGAAATGAAGAGTGCTGAAAGGCCCCGGACTCTTTGATGCCAACAAATAGCCGGAATGTAGTATCAGCAACCTGCTTTTGTTTAGCTGCCACGGCACAGACTATTGAGAAGGACGAAGCGAGAAACAACAAACTTACAAAGATCCACATATCCTCCTTCTTCGACGATTTCCCCTTCAGGGTCTTGAGGATCGTCCCGGGACTGACATGCACCAACTTCTGTCCCACCTTTGTCGCCTTATAATCATCCTTCTCTTTCTGCCCCAAAATATCCTCATTATCACTAAGCGAGCTATACCCCGACGATGACTCCGACGACTCAGCTAACGAATCACTCGAAAACGAAACGACCGGACTCCCAGCGTCCGTATTCCCCCTAAACCTCGGCGCGTCCTCCTCGACAGGCACCACCCCCCTCAGACTATCTTTGAACCGGGCATTATCAGTCCAGATAAGCTCCCCATTCTTCGCCCACCGAAACTTCCCCGCTTCATCCACTTCAACCAGATAATTCATCCGTTCCTCTCGCGACAAATACCTTACCTGCTGCCTCTCCAACTTCTCTCTCGGACACTGCGGCAGGTCCAACTCACTCCCCTCCCCATAGTCCAACCAATAAAAGAAGTTCTGATTCGTGGGCGAATTCTTCCAATATATATGATAGACCCGCAAATTACTCCCATGTCGGTGTTTCAAGTCCACCATTTCCAGAAAGTATTGCAAATCCATCATCTTGGCCGTAGTGCCTGCTGGAAGATCATGATGGAGAATAGTGGGCGAAGAGTCTGTCACCGAACCATTATCGCCCGTGTGGTTATTGGTCGTAGCTGTCTTCGACTCGAGATCATCGTCATCGTCGCCTCCAGCGCGCTTCGCTACACTGACAGCGCGGAGCCAATTACGGCGTGCGTTCGCGGTACTATCAAGGTCTTGTGCTGGCGCAGATGGGCGGTGGAGCTGTCGCCATTCCGCTTCTTTCACGGCCTGTCCGAATGAGAACAAGATGTTTAGCAGGAATCCTAATTGAGCGTGGGAAGTGGGAATTCGTGAGAAAGCCATACATCTTTCCATCGCGATGTCGACGCAGAGAGATCTAGTCCGCGAAGTGCCCGCCGTGTGCGATAGCCACGATATGTCCTCTAGAATCCAGAATTTCTGTTAAGAGTCTTGCAGGATACAGCGAGAGTAGAGGCCGACCTGGATGGTTTGCGCCGCCCTCGCTCGCTTCTCGGTGACGTCATCGCCAGGGTCACGGCGGGCAGCTGCAGCGGTCGCGGGGTCCACAGGCCCGCTGCTGCTGGGTTCCATGGCTTGTTGCGCTAGGGGAGATGCCATGGATTGAATGATGGAAGTAGTGGATTCTGTCTAGAGGAGATACTCTGGAGCCTGTGGTAAGTAAGAGTGAGGATCAGGAGCAGAAGGAGCAGATTGATGACGGAAAGAAAAGATTGACGGTCGAAAAGTCGAGCCAAGCCTGGGCGTTGGCGGGGCACTGTAGATCCTGCGCCGGTAGATGGTGTCAAATGAAGATACTTTCTCCCCTTACAGGTATGAGTTAGTGATCAAGATCAAGGACTTGTATGAATGAACTCCTCAACATGTGTTATTTTTGCTTTGTGATGAGTAATAGTCTGTAGTTACTGCCTGTTAACTTCAGTACTCCACGCGTAATATATACTGGTGGTAATGAAGCCAAATAGGACTAGTCGTATTATCACATTTGCTGATTACAAGTACATCAGCAATATCAACCTGGGCGAATCAGTGAAGATCATCCGTATTCACATCAAGAGTGACCCACTATTCAGCCCATCCATCTAAAAATATCTAAACAGTCACCCTCCGGGCTCTAAGATACTCATAATCCGGCATCGCATCATGAACCGCCTTCTCTATCAACTGTGCCATCTCCTCTCCAAACTCCAACTGCCACTTCTTCACCTCAGTTGGGATATCCACCACTGCGGGCTCTTTGCTCTTCATGACACCCGACGATTCATTCAAAGTAGACAGCATAACCGACTTTCCTGTATCCCAGTCAAACACATCTCCATTTTGCCGTGCGCCGCCACCCGCTTGCACTCCTCTCTCCCACTGAAACTGAAGCTTGCTGGGGTCTAGACCCGCTAGTTCACAGAATTTGGTGACAGCATCCGGATTGTGGATAACATCGTAGGCGTCCAGAAGCAGCGGAGTGGTTCCGGTTTGCTCGACAGACCAATCGAATAGTGACCGGGTCCAATGGAGGGTCATGTTCGTGAGTAGGGTTCCTGGTAGTATCTTGGTGTCCATGAAGCCCAAATCGGAGATTTTATTCATGGCCCGGCAGAATGAGGGAAACACTGTGGCTGGATGGCGGATGATGAATGCCATTGTCCATGTGCGTAGATACTCGTCTGGGAGGATTGTCTTGTTGTTGGTGGAAAACGTCCGTGTAGGACCATAGGCGCTAGGCACATTGACCTGGAAGGTTGAAAAGTCATAAGGGCCCTTCTCAGGTCCGTGTATAGCTTGCATGAAGGCCATGGGATTGGAGAGCCAGAAGGAATGTTCCTTGGCGAACATGGTCTTGTTCTCTCGCTCAGCTAGAGCGCACATCTCCTCTAGATGGTCAAAGCATTCTTGGAAGGTTGACTGGACCTCATGTTTGGCTTCATCGGTCCATTCCGAGGGGGCCTGTGTGAGTCGACCGTCTTTAGCGACAGTGAGGAAGGCATTGTAGAAGAAATAGCCGCCCCGATCTGCTGTGATGGTGTTGGGCTGGCCAGGGATATTGAGGATCTTCAGGAGCAAATTGGACGCAGTTCGGGGAACGCTGACCAAGAGAAGACGGCGGGGTGAGTCTTGGCTGTGCATGATTGGCGAATCCAATTGATTGATAAGTTCGATTTAACTTCTATTATGGCCGTTTCTTCTTGTCTCGTGTGTAGATTGGCTGTAGACAGAGCAATAGGAAGCCTGGAATATTGGCTCATCTTGGAGCTATATGGCGTGATCAGGTACGTATATATATGTAAGCCTGAGGAACTGCCAGGGAAGTTCCTCTCACTGTTGCGACAACCTGCAGCGGAGCTTCGCGCCTTTCGAAGGACCGAAAAGTGGAGGTGCAAAGACAGCGTTGCATTGGACTAGCCCTGAGAGGTAAAGGCGGAGATGCAGACAGGGAGAGAATACGGATGTCGGCTTTAGCAACGTCCGAAAACCTGCCTGTCAGAGAGAATGGGGTATAGTAGAGCATGTTATGTGGATGCAAACCCCAGCCGATAAATAATGGACAGACACCGGTCGGGGACTATTGTAGTATGACAAGCTGCAGATCACCGTTGGGTGGAGACGGCAGGTGCCGATTAGGGGAGAAAGAAATTGCTGCCGGTTTCTTCCAGGTCTCGCCACATGTGGCAGCTTTGAGATGCCTCCATTTAGCTGGGATGTCCATGGCTGGTAGCTGGAATTCCGGACATAAGCAGCCCGGTTTCCATACCCGGGAGAGGGGGGGTGTTTAATGGAGAGAATCCGTCCAGCGAGTCCCGAGGTCATCGAATCAAAGGCCTGAGCCGCCTAGGCCTGACATTATGTTTTGTGGTAGGATATCTTTTCATTATAATCGATGGAATTGGGCTTGTAGATTGTAACGAAGTCTCGCTGTAATGGTTAGTCTCAAGTAAGCCAGAATCAGACAACATTCAGGAAGGCAAAGTCACGACGGCTGGTCAAGATCCATATTGGTTCCTGATGTGGTGAGTAACTAGTGACAAGGCGTTGTGGAATAGCTCCACTTGCCAACGAAAATAACTATAAGAGTGAGGACTTGACCTTTGACGCGTCAGGTGCAATTTGTGATGTATGAAGGAACGCTGTTGACTCATGTAGTATATCCGATTGATGTGCTGAGATTGCTGATAAAGCCTTAGTCTGTATAGTATAGCTTATATTGAAATTTAATTCTCGCCTAGAATAGTATTCTGACAATCTAACAAAGCCTATGGAGATGTCCCAAGATGATCGGCGTAAGATGCGTTGGATCCTGGGGATTGGGCGTATAGATTCGGTGGCCTAGGCATAAGTCAGGGCCTGCAGGCTCGTGGTCCCGAAATCTGACCGAAACCATAGTCCAGATTGGAATGACATGGGTGTGTAGTCTATAAATACATTGTATAGTCGTGGACTCGTTTGTTGAGTCGCGTACATTCCGTGTATTGGACGAGGATATAGGGCCTATGGCCTGCTCCTTACCCAGCCATTGTTGAACCTCGGATGGAGGCAACATGCCAATGCCGAAGAGAAGGTTGTGGCCTCCAATTTCAGGGCGCTTAGTGAATACTTGAGTCAATTTCATGAAACCTCTTTGTTATAAGGTTCAACAATCACGCCGTCGCTTCAGACACCGGCTCTGCCTGAGCTCTCGGCATCTGCTCTGACACATCGGCTTTGATACTTTGGGCTTTTTCTTTGGCAGCAAGCTTGGGTTGTCTATGAAGAGGACGTGGAGCCATGCTTCCTGTTTTAGCAATGACCAAATTCCGCTTGCGCCGACTGTGCCAGGGTCCGTCATCCGATTGACGGATATAATATCCCAGATCAGCAGTTGGATCCCACTCCGTCTGGGAAACACCAATGCCCAACCAGGAGAAACGGTTGCCCTTGTACTTAATATCCCAGTCATCAGCACGTGGCTCTCTCATTGCCTCAAGATAGTGTAAAGTGCTTCCAGGCCAAGTCGTGGGAACGCGACCGCCGATGGTATGGTTGTTGTGGGAGTTGCGGCAATTATCCGTCCAGACGGCCTTTTCCATGAATGAACCGACATGCTCCTTGAACTCAGCGCAGACATCCCCCTTGAGTGCCATGCTATGGATGGGCTCCGTCTGGTAACGGTCAATAAAGGAGCAGATGTAGTCTGCTTGAGCTTCAATCGCAACCATTGTAGGGCCATTGGAAACGGGTGTGTAAGGGCCAAGCATGGTGAACGTGTTGGGGAACTCAGAGATACCGATTCCCATATAACCCATGATAGACTCGGCCCATTCTGTCTGCAGGTTGCGGCCATTGGGTCCAATGACAGGGTAGCGTGGAATGTAGGAGGTGTCAAACCCGGTGGCACAGATGATAATGTCGCCTTGATGCTCATTCCCGTCTTCGCTTACGCAGCCAGATGGTGTTACCGCAGTCACACCACCGTAGACCACGTCGACATTCTCTTTTTTGAGAGTCTGCCACGCGTTTTAGTATCACCTTTAAAAACACCAGGGGCGCGGAATCCTCACATTCAGATACCTGAAGCCCGATGGTACCACACGCTTGCAGCCCACAGAGAAGTTCGGTATCAAACGATCTTCCATTTCCTGATCTTGAAAGGCGTTCTTCATCACAGATGTCAGGAGACCTTTTGCCTGCTCCTGAAGGACAGTATCCTTGAGATACATAGCTGTTCCTATTTATCAGCAATAGTCGCCGACTTCACAGGTGCGTTCAACATACTGAAGATACTGTTCATAGTCCGTTCATTATCCTTGCGCAGCGCTGTCACGCTCTCCGGATTGTTCACAAAATGCTCAATCTGCTCCTCGGGGAACTTGCCTGCCTCCGTGCTAATGTCGGGCAGCAGCCACGTCGGCGAGCGGATAAAGATTTTTACTCTGTTAACAATAGGTTGAATCGCAGGGAGAATCTGAACAGCCGATGAGCCCGCACCGATCAACAGAACATTCTTCCCTTCAAGCGACACGCTCTCATCGTACATCGCACTGTGTAGCTTGGTGCCCTTGAAATCGGCCAATCCCGGAATCTCGGGCCAGGCAGGCTTATTGAGATAGCCCGTCGCATGAATCAGGATGTGACACCAGTCATGTACTGTGTGACCGGTTGTTAAGTCGGTCGCCGTCACTTGCCACTGGCCCGATTCCTCGATCCAGTTGGTTTCGGTGACGACGTGCGAAGTGTGGATGTATTTCCGCAGACCGTACTTGTTGGCAAAATCGTTGAAGTATCCTCTGATTTCGCGGGAGCCCGCGTATACAGATGACCAGTCTGCTTTGGGTTCAAACGAGTAGACATAGTTGTGCGAAGGGACATCACAAGCGCATCCTGGGTAGCGATTTTCATACCAGGTTCCCGAAATCTCAGGATTCTTCTCGTAGATCTGCATTCCAAGTTAGAAAAGCACCAAGAGAGACCGGGAAAATAGGATGTAAAACGCACAGTCAGGTCATAGTTCTGGAACGACCTCTGCAGCTTGTATGCCAGACACAATCCCGAGGCACCTGCACCCACGCAGACTACCTTAACATGTCTCTCGTTGTGAATAGCTTCCGCTCGAATAGGATCCATTGTGAGTAGACAGACTTTCTTTCTCGTCAGTGAACACAAACACAAGAGGAAGATCTCTATACCCAGGAGAGCAGCGAAACAAAAGCTGCAGACGACGGCCGTTTAGCCGAGGGGCAAGGCAAGAGATCATGGCCACAAGGACCATCGGATTAGTATGACGGTCGACAAGCTCATTGGTGGGGGGGGCGAGTCGGTCATGCCGTCACAGTCTTCAGATATTCGGAGCGAAGACTTCCAGCTCCACTTGCAGATGAAGCTAGTCGCTAAATCCCGAGCTGGCCAAGCGGGAGCGAGCTGAGCATGCCACAAGCATAGAGTTGCGAGGGGTAAGTAAGTTTGTAGTACTATCTCCGTTTCCAGCCGTTGATGCTGACCGGTACTCGCGAGACTCCAACCACCACCACCACATCACCCTGGCCGGTGGGGCGCGCTAAGGCCAACGAGGCAGTGTTAGCGCGGCCGGTGGTGTTAGTAGTGTTACACCTGAAACGGGCCACAATCAGTATGTTCACCGCTCGAAAATTACCAATGCTGACAGGCAGCATCTACGGTGTAACTAATTCTCGACGATTCTATTCCCTGGCTCCCCAAGGGATCCGAGAATCTGTGAGTTGAGGTCCAGTTGTGGCAATGAATCAGATGCAACGTTTTAGCTTTCCACTTAGAAAAAAAAAATTATAATATAGAACAGAATTCTTTCCACAGTGGCGCTATGCCCCTTTTCATGGAACGGGAATAGGCGGATGTCGGAGAGCCGGACCTATTCCGAGGATTACACAAGGCCTGAGGCAGTGAAGCAAGTGAAAGCGTATGTTTGCTAAACGACGCATAATGGATCCTAATGCTCAGTATGCATGAAATATACTCGATCAAACCATTGAGAACATTCATTCCCTAGAATATCGCACTATAGGATGATTCTGCTCGTGTCTAATTCCCTAACTTCCAGTCTACTCAAGGACAAGGTCAAGAAGGGCCAGATTATGATTGGATAGTTCGCCTAAATATGATTGCCAGTGCGTCCGTCGATGGATTTAGTACTGTGCACTAATTTCTGACCTCTTATAGCATATTAAAGTCAGTCCATCACGAGTACCACATCCTTGTAACAGGAATGTAGACTGTGATAACTTAACGCACCGCAACTTCCCCCCCCCCTTGTACTAGATCGTGTCACTAGTAAGTCTATATAGTCTCTTACAAGCCATGTCCTCCATTCTCCTCTCCGTCTTGTATATCAGGTTATCACACTGCAACACCGCCCTCGTATACCCCAGGGTCTACCCCAGCACAAGCACCACTAACCAACAGGCCCAATCCCGACAATTGAACCCACACTTAGACAAAGATCCCGATCCGGACCCTTCTCTCCAAGCCCATCCATGGTCCTAATCCACTTCCAACCCCGACTCCATACCCCCAAGGCATGGCACTTCGTGGCCCAGTCCGAAGAGAAGGCGAACCCCGTGTTCTCCAACTCCCGGCTTTTGTCTCTTTCCGGGGATTCGCCTCTCCAGAATCGTCTTTCCCGGAAACGGCATCTCCAAGTACGTATCACTCAGATCCAGAGTTGCTCCACTGAGGACGTAAAGTACATGATCGACACCGGCTTCCCCGACCCCGATTCCCAGGCCCTTCGGCTCAATGGCGAAAGACCTAAGTCTGGACTCTCTAGTCATTCCTTGCTGGACCAGGACGGGCCTACCACTGGTCTCGTTTGCCAACAACAACGCCTCGATCGTCGGATGGATGGTATACGCCATCACTCCAGAGCCCATACCAGGGTACACCCATCCCCGGTGCCATTGTAGATAGTCCAAGATGCAAACCACGGTTCAGCGGACAAAGGGGTCCTTGGACAATGAGCTCGTCATATAGACGATCTGTCAAATCATTGTCTTTCCACGTCAAGGGTTCTAGAGCTGAGACGGGGTTCGGAGACGCCGATAGTCCATGTCTGTGACGTGGGCAAGAAGATCGATTACGAGGTCTCTGTATCTTTGGAACATTGTGGAGGCGGAAGTCTGAAGATGTGGAGGCGCGGTTAGTGGAATCTGGGCCCTTTCGATAGGCGCTTGGTCGTTGTCGTGGTGCAGCAGTAGGAGTAGCTGTTAGGGATAGCTAGTACGTAGATGATTGACACAATGGTGCTAGATCCCTTTCACATTATGACCAGACTACTAATAGTGCAATGGTAATTGTTCAATATCTGAGTGCATAAAGTCGCTACGCGTGGTGAAACGTCCCATAGATTTAGTGAATGATCCAGGCTGAGGACTGCAGAATAGCGGGCCCGGGCCTCAACGCATATACTTCCTAAAGAGGCTAGTGGTAATTATAAGGTATCGCACGAGGAGGCGACAGGATCGACAGACATGCATAACTGGCGAGGAGGTCTTAGAGTGGCCCCGTGGTCGATTACGACTCCAGCCACATTATGCCATATCTCCCCTTTTACGAGGAGGGCTGTCCTCCCCCCAAAACACGTCATACGCGACATCGGCACGAAGCGAAATAGAGTTTCCTGCGATCGAAGCGGACTGGGTCCGAGGACCTGGGACGGATCGTACCAAGGTTGATTTGATTGTTGGGTAGAGATCTGCCTGATAACGTGGGTTGAGAGTCAGCTGCAAACCCCGGGCCTCGATCCCGTTGCCGCGTCCTTTTTCCGATATCTTCCGGCTTTGGTAGTGGTGATGTCGATCACGGTTCCTGTATTGCGGGATGGTATGATGGTAGCGAAGGAAGAAGGAGAAAAGTCTAAAATTCTCCGATGTCCAGCGACGCTCGGGGATCGGCGGTGTCGTGGAATCAGGAAACCCTTTGCCCGCTCGTCGATCTATAGGCAAATTGCATAACCCCACCATGAAGGCGACCTTGGCTCATGAGTCTCAGGAGATTGGAGGGGTGGTAATCTTGTTCTCGTGGTTGCGGTGAGTTGGTCGACGGTGGAGTGACTGCATGAGGACTTCATAGCGCATGATTAGGGGCGATAGAAGCTTTCAGGGAAGGAGGGTCGTTGACAAAACATAGACGGGATTCATCCCAGTGCGGGGAACCGAGGTAAATGATACTGCGTATCCAGTTGCCAGTCGAAAGACACCGTGCTGGTGCAGACTCGTAACAGGTTGACCCACATTGATTGCAAGTGCGGCCTCCGCGTGATCAAAGGAGGAGTCCAGACTGCGTGTTAGGTTGGCGCAAATTGCATTAATAATTGGGTCCGTGGTAAAGGACTCATGGCACCTTTGATTACGAAGGACACTACTTGGCTATCGTGAAGGTCGGGATCCAACTACTCAATGGTGAAATGTGGAGGACGGCCTTCTCCGGCGGGAATGGAATGGTTCTGTCACCGTTTTTCTGAACCATAGTCCCGTCAATTCCGGCATTTGCAATTCTGGATATGGCGGTTGAGGTAGTTGAACCTAGATACGACTCCAAAAGGATGATTAAGGTTGCCTAAATGTGGCCATGTGGTTCAGGTCGAGGCGCCACGGGCTAGGATCGTGCAGTAGACCACGTTGACTGGCGTCGAGAAGGCGAGGCCCAGCGTGGTTGCTCCACGATCCAGGTAGCCTGGACAAGGGTAGCAGCGCCAAGGTGGGCATTTCGGCCGCCCGGCGATGATGCTGCAGGGGTCATCCGTCGCTGATTGGAACCCAAACAGATGATCGCGGGCTGGCCTCGCCACAGTACATTGCTTTCTACTTGTAGATAGTGTTTGAATCAACATGGAGCAGACTTGTGGTACACTAACGGTCCAGTTGGCACTGGCAGAATCATAGCTAGGTCATATCCACAGTATAACTAACCGGGGCTGATAGTAGTGTTGTAACTTGGGAACTGAGAGCCTGTACTCACCCAATACCGGCCATAAGCGTCATCCTCGATGTGGCGGTGTAACAAAGGTGGCGTCTCCAGGCGAATAATCGGGAGGAAGAAGGTGCTGTTCTCCGACTGAAAATAGATGTTGGAGTCTCACAGTCGGATGCTAATGTTTCTTAAGGTCGGGCATAACTGTAAGTAACACCACCGGAAATGAGAAGTTATCCTTTACGAAAGATTCCGGCTGTTTCCTTGACTGAATAACAAACAAACAGCAAGGGGAGGGGTGGGGTGTGTTATCGGTGCCCCTGAGAGAAAGGCACTGATAGCAAGTATGTAATTAATTGATTACATACCACCTCCTCGGCACACACACACACACACACAAAAGAAGGAAAGCAACCAAATAACAAATAACAAACTCACCAGGGGAGAAAAAACTGCCCATGGTTCCAGGGTCATTACGGTAATGGTACAATACCCATCAAGCCACCACCGACTTCAAGTCCCAAGGCAGGTAAAGTTCCCGGCACGGCGCGGCGGAGGGCAACCACCGCATCTCCACCCTCTACTTTTAACAACCCAACCATGGATGAACTTCCACGCACGTCCCCACTCCCTCCCCGTTGCCATAATGCGAGAAATGGCCCACGGTACGCCTGTCCAAGAATGGATATCCTACCACCGACGTACGGAGCTCCATACTCAGCTCTTGGCTTCTGCAGATTTGGACTCCTTCCAACAGCATTCTCGCTCGCTTGCGCTTCGATGATGACAACACTCGCCCTTGGAGACCACGGTGCGCCGTGCCCGGTAACACCCTGTCTAGCTCATCCGAACCCGCACGGCCCATGTCATCCATGGCTAGTAGGGGAGAATGAGAAATGGCTCATCCACTGGACGGAGCCATTGCGAGGATTGGTCATTCGACCGAACCTCTGTCAATTTCCGCTAATTACTTATAAAGGAGCCATGCATATCCCCGGGCTGTCCTCCTGTGGGGAGAAGGTATAAGGTCGTCAACGTGCAGTGCTGTGGTACTACTAAGCCTCGCTTGCTTATCCTAAGGATTCACCACCACGCGTGACTAGTACACTACATATTTTCAAGTGCAGCTCTTCCTTGCACTTTCCCCGATTTAGCTTGCCAAAATGGGTAGTCTTTCTCCCTTGCTTCCAGCATCGCCGCGCATGCTGCCCCATTACTTCATCTCAGTGCTCTATGCGCTATTCTCCTCTCTCTTCAACCTCATCCCAGACCACGCAAAAAGTCATCTCTTCAAGTCGGGCAGAGCACACGACTTTCTGCCGTCAACGTGGAAGCAGGTTGACTATGAGATCCGCAACGTCGTCAACCACCACGGCCGTTATTGGTGGCACACCACGGGATACGTGTTGAATCTGCTCCTGCAGGAGGCCGGCTACACAGATCATGCGCAACGACGCATCCTGACCTTCTTCGGTCGCTCGATCGCTCCGCACCTCGGAGTCGCAAATGAGCCTGGTGCGCAGAGATGGCCGAGTTTCATGACGGACAACCATAACCCAATCGAATTGAGTTGGGACTGGCATACTGGCAAAAAGTCTCCGACGGTTCGGTTCTCAATTGAGCCCGTGGGCCCCAATGCCGGCACGCAAGTGGATCCCGACAACCAACCTGCAGACGCGCACTTCAGGAAGGTCCTGATGCAGGCGTTACCCAACACGGATAGGGAATGGTTCGACCATTTCGATCAAGCATTGGCTCCGGACCTGCCTCCCAAGGGCTGCATGGAGGGCCATCCGTCGAAGATCTTTTACGCCTTTGATCTGAGCGAAGAGGATATCACCGGAAAGGCCTACTTCTTCCCCGGCTTCAAGGCCAGGACCACGAAGCAGACAAATCTACAGGTCCTCGCCGAAGCAATTCGCACAGCTCCTCACTGCAGCGACAATGAGAAGCTTGGCGCCTTCTTGATGTTCGAGGATTTTGCCCAGGATCCCTCGACGCCACCGCTGGAGATGGACATGCTAGCCATCGACTTGGTCCGCCCGGCTGATTCGCGCCTCAAGATATACTTTCGAGCGCGCGAAACGAGCTTTGCCTCTGTGCGTCAGATGATGACGATGGGAAACCGGATTACCAACCCGTCACTAGAAGCTGGACTGCGGAATTTGAGGAAGCTGTGGGACGGGGTTCTAGCCCAGACTGGCGTGCCTGATGATACACCCCTCCCAGCTGCTAATCATCGCACAGGGGGAATCCTGTATAACATGGAGTTCCGCCCAGGAAGCACGGCCCCCAACGTCAAGGTGTATATTCCCGCCCGGCATTACGCGCCAAGCGACTGGCATGTGGTCACGGCGTTGAATGAATACATGTATGGGATCAACGAAAAGTCGGAACTGCCCATGCGTACCTATACTGAAACCCTGCGTAAAGTATTGTGAGTAGCCAGTGTCCGATCCTTCAAGTACATATTGCTAACATTCGATGCAGCACGCACGATGCTCTCCAGCAACGTGGTCTACATACCTATATCGCCTGCTCGGTTCAGTCGGGTGGTGATCTCCGGGTTGTGTCGTACATGAATGCGCAGAGCGAGAAATTTGCCACGACATGAGCATGTGGCTATGACATGATGAATCATGAGATACGATTTAGTGTATGTAACATCTCTTTTCCTCAAAACCAGTCTACCCGTCTTTCTACTTCGTACTGTAATTAAATACATGACATAACCTATTTATTGCCTTGATCATTTGAACCAGATGACACTGGAAGACGCTTACCTTGAGACACACCGACACAGCATTAGTAAAGAAAGGAATCCGTAGGATGACGCCTTCTGGTACGCTGGGTAAAGATACCGCAAAAGGGTCGAGGTCCAAGCAGCGCGATGCAGCGAGTAGAGACCAAGCGAGAAGTAAGCGTGGGCTCCACTTGAACGGGCCACACCCGAGCTCGTGTCATTTGCTGATAACCTCGGATCAGGTTGGCCCATGCAAAACCGAGTCGGCTCGCGAGTGGGGTCTTCCGAGTTTTTCAGTGCACATCGACGGAAGGTCATGATGGAGGAGCTGGTCTCTGGCATGCATCCATTTCATGATCGAAGACCGTATGCAACAGCAGCTACTCCAATCTTCGCAGAGGCGGCCTGAACGACTACGGGATGAAATCATCCTGCAAGTTTCACTTGGCACAGAATAAGACACGGGAAATTACCTCTCATGCCATGCAGAAGACTATACCCAGAACTGCCTCGGGCGCAGCTCTAGTGTCGGTGGTTGACCCACTGCAGTGACTTCTCGTGAGGCCCTACTGTCAACACGTGTCGGATCGACAGAGGGGCACCACGACTTGGGGTTGGGATTTTTAATCATAACCCTTCACTGTTCTCCTCGACACGTGTGAGTCCATAGAGGGCATTCCACCATGTGCTTCCTTTATTCCTTGGATCATTCCTCCCCGGTTATCCGGTTTCCAGGATCCCGCCGTAGCCGCGAGGCATGCGTATCTACTGACTGCAGTTTCCCCCGGCCAAGGCGGGTAATACTCGGTGATGGCCACTGCCATACCTGACGGAGTACCCAGTCAATCTGATACAATTGTAAAAGAAATAGTGTATGACCCGTTGGGGCGGCGCGCTGATAATGCAGTCAGACCAGACTTACTACGACCCTTCCATTCTCTGCAGAAGAATGTTCCATAAACCCAATCAGTCGACGGGAAGAACAGCGCGGCGCCCGAATGGTTCCCACACTAAGAATCTTCTGGCGCCCTCGACGTTGGGACCCAGTTGGCAAGATCGAGAGGGGCAATTCTTCAGCGACAAGCCCTGAATTCTCACCTTCGTCTTAGTTAGTTTGACACCATGTGGCGCATCTATATGGAACCGGCGCAAGAATCAGTCAGTCAACGAGGATCAACCGAATTGAGTCCCACGTAACGATCTATGTGGGATTTTCCTACCCATCCCGTATACCTTGATCTGGTTTCTTACCAATATGGATCCGGACTCACTCTTGAGGGGTTCTCATCCGTCTTGTCGCGAAACACGACATGCCAGGAATGCCCACCCCGCCACCCCCTTCCTGGCCAAACTTTCAGCTCTGCCGTCCATTGTGGATCCGCCTCCTACCTATTCGGGCTGTTCGTTTCTAAAGTCAATGTCTTGCTTGATCCACTATGGTACGGCTTTCGTTGCCTTGCAATTCGTTACGGTTCGAAACTACAGGGCACTATAGCTCAGTCGATTCTAGCGAGCCGATCTCACACCGCTGGATGGAAATACTGACTCCTATCTCAACATTAGTTTCCCCATTAGAAGATGACATCGTCTTTTGACTTGGATTCCTGCACAATAATTTGATTCGACGGTCTGCAACAGCCAAGCCATATGGTACCCCACTGGTATCTGTCAGATTATCTATCTCATGCTATTTCCAAACCGTGCCAGCAATATAACATGTCATCGCATGAATTCCCCACTAATATGTCCAGCTTGAGGGGGGGTAGTCGACTAGTAACATTCACGCAACATGCAAAAGAAGCATACTGGATTCCCCTATACCAACCCCTCTTCACTATCGTGATGCGCTATATTCATTCATCAATACCCTTTCCAGACATGCAATGATAGATTGGCTCTACCTACAGCAAATCTGTAGATACAAGATTAACAAAGATAACATCACCCTCTCATAGAGAAATCACAACGATAACGATCTTGCAATAAAATTTCATCTCTCTGCTATCGATAGGGTATACACAACCCCAGTATTTCCGAGAACCCAGCCGAGAGACCTAAGTGAACTCATGAAGATATTTTTTCAGCCGTACGACAAGGACATTATATCCGTTTTTTTATACGTTGAGGCGTACTAGAAAACTACTATTATTTTGCTAGTACGACTCATGGTTATCTCTGTAGGGATGAAAGCCTTCCGTCGCATATGAGCCATGTATGAGGAAGTGGCCAACCCGATTTAAAGTAATGATATGCAGTGTGGTGTTATACGTTCTCAAAGTTGGGGTCATTACTATGGTTTAACTTATATACAGACGTGTTAATATGCTAGTTCGTAGGCATCAATCTCTATATATATTAAGATTTAGAAAGTTTATTGCTGGTCAGGAATGTGTGTTACGCATTTCTCAAAAACATTTATAGTTCTGTTGTCTCCGGTTGTTGGCAATAGTAGAATACTAAGCGTCGAGTATGGTAGCATTATTAATTGAACATACTCACTGTCCGACACAATTATTCTAGTGTTCATGTTCGAAACAACTGTGCTATATTGAAACATATTATTAAATCGATGTATATGAGGACAGTTATCCTTTATGCCTGTGCCTACTAAGATCACTTCCCTCAACTGCTTTTAACATCCACCACCGGACCCTTATACACCCTCCTCCCCTGAACAATATACATCGCCAAACTAATAACAAACACCCCTACGAAGAGCACCACGCTCCAATTGAAATTGTTCAAAGTCACGGGTATCTCAGTTGGCCAGAAAGACCAGAACAGCGCGAAGATCACGTAGACTAACGCTACCGCATTGATCCAGATCCCGTGCTTCCCTAGACTCCACCGTCGCGGGGGTAACGTCTCCGGACAGGAGATTTTGCGATACATGACGCAGCTGATGGAGATAGCGTAGGTCCACATGAGCGCTGCTACGTTTAGGGAGATGATGGCGTTGAAGGCGGTGTCGGAGCCAATGTTAATAAGGGAGAGAAGGCCGCTGATGATGCATGATAGGGCGATGGCGTTCACGGGCAGTTTGTAGTGCTGATTGACTTTTGAGATCCAGTTTGAGAAGGGTAGGCCCCTGTCGCGCGCGAACGCGTAGGTCTGGCGGGCTGTGGAGGCGTTGAAGAGGATGTTGCTGAAGATGACTGGGATGAGGATTATAGCGGTGAGGCCGTTGACGCCGGCGGTTGAGACGGCTTGTTTGAAGACGTAGATGAAGGGGAATCCGGTTGGGTCATCTAAGGCATCTTTTACGGAGGGCATGGCGAACATGAGGGTGATGATGAGTACGAGGGCTAGGATGCCGTTGCTGAAGTAGCCGCCGCAGATGGCCATGGGGACGTATCGGCCGGCGTCGCGGACCTCTTCTGACATGTGTGCCGTGGCGTCTGAGCTAAGGGATCCGTAGATGGCGGATATTTGCCCGATCATTAATGCTAACCCGACGTTGTTCCAGCCGCCGTAGAGGCTGAATTCGGTGAATACAGCCTTTGCGGACTGGCGTGGGGCCATGGCCCAGAGGACGACAATCACGACTACCCAGCAGATGGTGTGCAGGGCTAGCAGGGCATTCTGTATCCGTGGCATCCAGCTGGCAGCGTAGACATTGAAGAAGTAGATGATCAGGATCATGGCGAAAACAAAGAGCGTTCCTTGCCATCGCTTGGGGTCGTAATCGGGGTTGCGCACGCTGATGAGCCCTTGGATGATTGTGCCGGTCAGGAAGGACCCTGATGCGGCGCCAGCTTGCCATGCGAGAACGGACATCCATCCGGTAATGTAGCTGAGAAACTTTTGGTATCGGGGAGAGGCGAATTCGGACACCCAGTGGTACTGTCCTCCTGATGTTGGAGCCATGGATGCCATCTCCGATAAGGAGACGATGATGAAGCCGAATCCGACAAAGGTCCACACGTATGTCCACACCAGGCCAGCCATTCCACCGTCTTCAAGACCTTCATAGTTGGATCTGGTCACTCGAATGCGTTAGTGCTGGAAGAATGTGCGTGGTATGAGATGATAGGAAGATGATGCCGTACATTAAAATGAACTCCCAGGTCGCCTGCAAGACTGATGCGAAACTTAAGGCAGCGAGAGGCCGGAGATTTCTCTAGATTTGAATACGAGGTCAGCTACTCATTCTTACTGTGCTAGTCGCGGAAGAATTGTAGATATCGTACCTTGAACTCCTGCGCTTTGCCCATGCGGTTCATGTCGCTGTGGTCATATCGCGTGCCGGTTTCCCCGCCATTTCCCTCGCCGGCTTCGACTTCCAACGGATGACAGCCCGTCGTCACCACCCGGTCGCCCTTTTGGATGCTGCCCGCTTCCCCAGTTGCGGACGACATTTTGGGGAACTGGCAACGAGCTAAACTGAGATGAAGATAGATGAGGCTGAGGAGGCTAATTCTGCGACCACCGACTAAAATACGACACGGGAAGTCAGGCTGTGTGACGTGAGGGATCAAACAAAGAAACCACCGGCCATTTCCACCAGCATCCCCTGATTTCCCCTGCAACTGGCCGTTAATTCACTGGATTTCTTACAGCTGGGTGGTGGGAAGGAGTTTCCCTCATTATTTGTCTCAAAACTTGCTGTATCCAGCGTGGGGGTTCCCCAGTCTTTGTTCGCCGACCGCCATCAGGGGCCCGTGGCAGCAAGGGTCGGAACGCACTCACATGGCCCCATGGTACTCCTCCCGGAGAATGTGGCCAGTCAACATGAACACAAGACGTCGATCTCTGCCACCTTGATTTCTGAAGGGGGGCGCAGACACTCGCAATGTGCTGGCGGCGGGTGCAACAGACAACGTGAGCGCATAGCACGGCTCACCAGCTGCAACTCTTTGACATGCCCGCCACTCGATCGGCACTCTTGGCAAGCAGGGAATATCTCCCCCCTCCTTCTTCCTCATGATGAGGTGATTGATTGTCTTGACAAGGGATACACGGGATTACCAGGATGAGCCGATTCAAAATCGGTCCACTGAGGAAGCAGGTTTGATTTGCAGGAGGGAACCTCCGGATAGGCTGGACGGTCATTGGACCGGCCACCTGTCATGGCACCAAAATGGGGCGTGGCTGTAACCCATGCCTGGGATGCAGACAAGTAAGGAATCTCCCGTCTTTGATCCCCCTTCTCATCGCAGGGCCAGCGTTGTCAAATCTGGGCCAGGAGCGACTGGCTTTTCGCGTGGCATGAGATAGGGATGTCTGTATTTGATCAGGTGCAGCATTGATAGCCATTAAAGTTTAGGGGCCCATTCTCACGGCGGATTGGCCAGTCTCCGCGAGTCAGCGTGGCCAGTCCCGAAAATAGCTCATTCCTATCGACGCGCGATGCGGAGAGGAGGGGTCGATTAGCAGTTGATCAGCCGGGATCCAGTTTTACTGCTGTGCTTATTCGCGCCGGTATCCACCAACGACATGCGATCGGGGCGTACCGTCAAGACTTCGGACTTTCGTGGTGGATATCTGCCTGTCCTACCTCCCGGTGCAGGGGAGTGTGCCAACAATGCCTGCCGGCCTTTTCAATCACTCTCGCTTTTATCAGAACATAATCGACCTGGCCATGTGTGCTTGTCCATGGTTACACACTCATCCAGTCTTTTTTCGTATAAGCATAACCCCTGTCCGACCAGCTCAGAGAGAATAACAAACACTCGATGCGCCTCGAACGTGACGGCGGAAAGGCTAAGGTGTCAAGGGAGCAATCAACCCTGTCGGTCAAGGCTGTCAGCCGCAGAAGTAGTCGGCACACCCACCTTCTCCATCTCAGCGACGCGACGATTCTCCCAAATTTTCTGGGTAGATAATATCGCAATGTCGTGATGATATCCCTTCTACAGCAGTAACAGCGGGTTTTTAGTCGCAGTGCACCTATTGCGATGGCCGTCCTGGCCTCCTCGCTTCCTCCTGGAGTTTCCCCTCCCTTGACGGAGGATAACGACCATAATCATAACGGTCTGATCGTTATCGTTACTTCACTGGCTCTATTCTTGGTTCTGGCCTCGCTGGTCATCAGAATATTCGCCTCATCAAAAAGAGGTCTCATGCTCCAGGATGACCACGTTCTTTTTGCCGCAGCAGTGGGTTAGGTTCCACTAAGAATGTCCGTTTACAAACTAATCTCCTGGGTCCACCAGATATGTGCTTGCACCCAGGTATCGCTTGTGCTTCTCCAGGTTCACTATGGGTGGGGCAAGTCCAGAGAGCTGATCCCGTTCAGTGACTACACACAGATGAAGAAGGTAAGTACGTTGTCCGAGCGCAGAGACCGACCAACGAGCTAAACGCCTTAGGCCGGATACGCGGCGGATCTGTTTTATGTCCTTATCATTGGTTTGTCAAAAATAGGCACGATGCTTTTCTATCAAAATCTTTCCTTGCAGCGTACAAAGTGGATGGTCAATGCTATCATAGCATCATGTGGCCTATGGACCATAGTCGCAATATTACTCCTAGCCATTCGATGCAACAGCCGTCCTTGGACTGATATCGATTCCGCATGTGGTGGGCTTTTCCCACGATGGCAAGCCATTTGTGCCCTTGACATTGTTTTGGAAGCCGTAATCCTTGCATATCCAGCGATAACGATCCGAAATGTGCAAATAACCTTGAGCAAGAAGCTAAAGGTTCTAGCCATTCTGAACTGCCGGGTCATGTACGTCGCCTGTCTTTACATACGTGCTGAGTTTTCGCATGCTGACACGAATATCTCCAACCCAGATTGATTCCCCTTTCCGCTGTGCACCTATACTACATTCACCTTCAGATATATTCCTCCAACCCCACGCTTGTCGGCACCTATGCCACCATTGTCGCAGAGCTACACCTCAGCCTCAGCATCGTTCTTCTCACAGTCTCATGCCTAAAAATGTTCGTCGCGGTTTACGAGGATGATCATGGGCTCGCATACACGGAAGATGCTTCGAATTCTCACAGTCGCAGCGGGCGCAGCGGGCCCAAATCATGGCGATCATCTCGCCCGGTCAAAGACCTGAGCTCTTTTGGTAGCAGTTGTAATGAAGAGGAGCCGATCTTACGGACGGAAGCGACCGTGTCGGCCTCCTCACCGCCGCTTGAAGGGCACCGCCGCAATGCGATAATGAAAAGTGTACAGATATCGGTGACCCGAGAGAGCATTGAACTGGGCGAGATGGCGGGACCATCCTCTGCTGCGATACCTAGGTCAACATGATTTTCTTCCATCGGTAAGTTTATTGTATGATCAGGGAGGTCTCATTCGTCAATAGATAATTCTAATGAACTGCATTGGGATTGGGTATTACCTATATCCTGTTACTTGATTCGTGCTTTCCGTTGACAGTGCGCCGAGGACCTCTAAGTCCTGTCGTTACTAGACTAATAGATATGATGCGACAGTCTCTAGCATTACAGACCTACGTACTTGCTTGACCTGCCTTTGTGAGCGGTTGATATAAAGCATGAACAAAAAGGCGCCCACATCTTCCTGAGCAGCTCCTGAACGGGTACAGCTTCAATAAGAAATACGGTTTTGCACCTGCATCCATTGTATTCATTGGCTATATTTGTCCAGACCTACCACCTTAATCATATATTACACGACGTGTAACATGTGATGCCCAAATGCAGACGCGATCGCATAAGTTCCCATCTCAATGATGGCAAGATACATATCTTTAATCCCTTCAGCAATGAGTTGAAGATGTTGCTCACTATCTGACAGCTTCTGCAACTAGCTCCTGAGATTGCAGGGTCGGGCAGCTCGCTACAATGCTGCTGTGCACCCAAGTTGGAGATTCTACGGGACCTGTTCAATCCAGGCCATAGTCATTTACCTGTCCGTGGCAATCGGATCCCGGCCTTTGAAAGACAGCTCATGGACGGCAACCGTTCTTGGGCAGTTGCCAAGGAAATACCTAACAACTGTATAGGTGTGGGTTATGCCTGGGGCAATCTGAGTGTATGCGATGGGTTGTCAGGACAGCTTTGTCATATTCTACCGATTGCGGTAGAAAGAACCGACGAATATGCCATTTAGCCTGTTTTGCACCTCACTGCGGGTCAGGGTCAATATGGCCTTCTGCAAGGAGTTGGATACCGGAGAGCTGTTTGTATGTTTCTGTCTTTCGAATGAGTTGAACCTACTTGTGAAGTAAGGCCTTTGTGTCTAACAGCACAAATTTCTAGTGACTATTCACCCATTCGTTTGTGATGAACACAATCTCTTGTATCTGGCTCTGTCCCAGCCAGCCCATCGATCCCCGCACTCGGCGCCTCGGGCCAAAATCGACCGGGACCGTGCGGAGATTCCCATTCCTGGATTATTTACTTCCTTGCATGCAGATCCCACCGCTTTCGCCTGTTTGTCTTGCATATCAGGCAAGTGTTGCAATTCAGGCTGTTAATATTGTGAGTGTCACTCTCATGTGTCCGGCGTGCATAACGAACGGTTGATGGCGGGCGTGGTTTCGATTGTATGACATACTTAAAGTATGCCGAGATCACCTTCTAGTCATCGTACAAGCTTTATCGTACGATCGGCATTCACTTCGCCTCTCGGGACAATGCTACACCTGGTCTGCCTAGCTTTACTGTGTCATGTTGCCCGTGGTCTCCCAACCCAGGCAAGCCATAATGCACAACCAGTGATCAACCTCGGCTATGCCAGATATCGAGGTGTGCGTCTCGAAGCTGGAGTTGACGAGTTTCTTGGGATGCGCTATGCATCTCCGCCTATCGGTGATCTAAGATTTCGAGCGCCCCAAGATCCGCCTGCAAACCAGACGCTACAAAGTGCCACGGAGGTATTGTTTAGGCTTTCAGATCAATCTATCAAGAGACAAACACCTGACAGTGTCTATAGTACGGGCCAATTTGCATTGGCCTAGACGAGGAAGAGTCACCTGGCGACATCAGCGAGGACTGTCTGTTTATCAATGTTTTCAAGCCATCCACAGCCACATCTCAATCGAAACTACCCGTTTGGCTCTTCATACAGGGTGGGGGCTACGCAGAAAATTCCAATGCCAATTACAACGGAACTCAAGTCATCCAAGCATCTGATGACGTCATCGTATTTGTAACATTCAATTATCGTGTTGGAGCCCTGGGCTTTCTGGCCAGTGAGAAAGTGAGACAAAATGGGGACCTAAATGCCGGGCTGCTAGACCAGCGAAAAGCCCTCAGATGGGTCAAACAATACATCGAACAGGTAATACATGTAGTCATGCAGGTATCGCAGTGGTGCTGACGTTATCAGTTTGGGGGGGACCCTGACCACATCGTGATCCATGGGGTATCGGCGGGTGCTGGCTCCGTTGCCTACCATCTATCCGCTTACGGTGGGAAGGACGAAGGGTTATTCATTGGTGCCATCGTCGAGTCGTCTTTTTGGCCGACCCAGCGAACAGTGTCGGAGATGGAGTTCCAGTTCGAACGGTTCGTCAATGATACCGGTTGCTCTTCTGCTCGTGATTCCCTTGAGTGCCTGCGAGAACAAGACATTGCAACCATTCAGAAAGGAAATACTGGATCTCCCTTTCCAGGGGGAAGTAGCTCTCCACTACCGGACTGGTACTTCCTCCCTGTTACCGACGGCAGTCTAGTCCCGGACGAGTTGTACAATGCTTTCGACGCAGGCAACTTCATCAAGGTTCCCGTCTTGGTGGGCGACGATACCGACGAAGGGTCTAACTTCGCCTACAACGCCAGTAGTAGCGCCGACGTGTCGCGCTTCTTCAAGAATAATTATCCAAATCTAACTTCCCAGCAACTCAACGAAATCAATCAGGTTTATCCTCGCGGCAAATTGTTACCACGGCACGCAGCATACTTTGGTGCTTCCTCTGCAGCATACGGAGACGCAACATTTACTTGTCCTGGAAATCATGTAGCGTCATCAGCTGCCAGATACTTACCGAACTCAGTGTGGAACTACCGGGTCAACATCATCGATGAATCAAATATTGCTGGTGGCATCGGTGTCCCGCACACGTTCGAGCTACCCGCGATTTTCGGAGCAGGGTCAACCGGCACTCTAAGCAGCGACTCGTCGTATCTAACTTATAATGCAGCTATAATCCCCGTTACGATGCATTACTTCATCAGCTTTGTCCAGACACTGAATCCCAATACGTATCGATATGCAACGGCGCCGGAGTGGAATACATGGGGGAACGGGCAGCGTCTCCGGCTGCAGACTAACGATACTGCAATGGAGGCAGTACCAGAGAGCTCGCTTCAGGATTGTGCGTTTTGGAAAAGCCTAACCGTGCCAATGGAGGTATAGTCCTGGGACTTGGGTTAGCTGTAGATAGTGACCATCAGGGGCACGAGTCAAGATGCTGGGTTAGAGCCTGATTAGTGGCTTGCACGTATTCTATATATCATAGTCTCGATGCAAGAATACACAATGTCATTCGACATCCTGGACCAGCGGAAGCCGACCCGTGTCTCATACGAGTAGTAGACGAGCACGCCTTATCAGCCAGGGCATCTAGAAGACTGGTGGGCCGATGGGCCGATGGGCCAATCAAATGTCACATCGGCTCAGCACACTTCATCTCCACACGAGGATTTGGTTCCCCGCAGAGGTTTTTCCGCGCCGATAGAAATGATAAGACCCAGTAGTATTTATTTAGTATCCCCCAGTCAAACCACCTGCTGCTTTCTCGCACTTGGTCGGCCGTGTGCTTGTAGATATCCATTGCTAGACTGCTACTTTTTTGAAGCGAGCCAATATGTCTGCCAAGGACCTGACCACACGAGAATGGATCAATGCTTTAATTGAACCTGGCCATCTTCTCGTCTGGGCCCTGCGCTGTAAGTGTGACAACGCTGACATTCCCAAATATTGCTCTGTCACTGGGACAGAACGTCTCAACAGAAGTGACGGATATCTAACACACCGAGTAGATTACGTCAAAGTCAATCTTGAGACCGTCTTTTGCAAAGGACAAATCTTCGCCCCTCTACTCCATCAAAGCAGATTGCGTGATGAAGCATTCGGCAAATTTTGGGTGGCTTTCAGCAGTTAGTGCACCACTTCGCTCCTATCCATGAGTGAAAGACCCCTTCCTCACCTGGAACCCATCCCATAACCACCCCTGACTTTCCCCAGCATACCTTCAAGCAAACGCCCCACCACCAGCTACCCAACCCCCAGATCAAATCACCCGCTCCTCAGATCTGATCCCGGTCCTCCTCTCCCGCGCCTCGGGCACCGTCCTCGACGTGGGCCCTGGCACAGGTACCCAAATGCCCCTCCTCCGCTCCCCAGCCATCAAGACCATCTACGGCGCGGAGCCCTGTCACGGCCTGCACGCCGAATTGCGCGCCAGCGCCACCTCCCAAGGTCTAGAGGACAAATACAACATCCTCCCCTGTGGCGTAGAATCCGCAGATCTGATCCCTACACTTCAAAAACAAGGCCTTCTCAAAACCGACACTTCAGACGTGCCTTCCATCCTTGAGAACCTGTCCACAACTAAAGAAGGCGTATTCGATACCATCGTCTGCGTGCGCGTCTTGTGCTCGGTCCCTGACATGCGTCGCACCGTCCAGGATCTGTACACCCTCCTCCGACCAGGCGGGAAGATGCTTGTCGTCGAGCATGTAGTTAACCCATGGCGGACGCCTAAGGGGTCCGTGATCGCCAGAGTGGTCCAGGCATTGTATGGATTCTTGGGCTGGAGTTGGTATATGGGTAACTGCTGTATGAACCGGGATACCACGTCGGCGTTGAAGCATGCGGCGGATCGGGATGGTGGGTGGGAGTCGGTTGAATTGGATAGCTGGTTTGAGAGTACCCCGATGCCGTATGTGGCTGGCATTTTGACGAAGAAGGGGGGTGTAAACTAGGACGGATGTTTGAAGGGTTCTATATATACCATAGGCGGCGTTGGTCGGAGAGATCGGGGAGATCATGTTGTTCAGCTCTATCGTTCACTTTCTATTACTCGCATAAATTGGACCCTGTAGCAGGATGGGAAAAGGCCAGAACGACATCGGACTTTCCCTAAGGATTCGATCTAGGAATGATGTACCCCGAATCAATGTCTTGTTATACCTAGCCTCCCAATCGTTATACGTATTGTTTATTGTCAAGAAATACGGGATCGAGGGAAATAATGTACATCGATCGGATACATCTCGTTTGTGGTAAAACCATGGTTCAGATCAAACAATGGATTTTTCCGGCTCTTAAATTTCCACATCCTCCATGTGATATTCAATGAGCACGCTTTGTGGGTAATAAAGATCCATTCGTATTGATAGATTACTGGAACTTAGCCAGATACTCCAGGTAATCAGAAGACAACGAGGAAGAATAAATCTCAAAGTAAGGTGCAATACAGTAATTAACTCACCTAAAACCTCAGGGACACACCACCGACTTTGTCATACATGTCTGAAAATCCATTGTCTGCGGAACAACAGCCAAGAAACTCTCACAAATCAATGAGCATGGACATCGCGATTAACAGCAAATTGTGGCTACGACTGAAGATCCCGTCATAAATCTAGAAGAATACGTATGGTCGCGATGCATTTCCTACCATCTATTACGTACTTTATGGAAGCTAAGACAGTGTCTATCATGCATACTAAGATTACAGCTTGACGGGAAGACCCGTTGCAAAAACAGAGTGATTTGAGAATACCCAAATATGTATGGCTGGATTGACATTGCAATAAAGACCTTGTCTATCCAGTCTTAGTAGTGCGATGAATGATTGTACTTCTGCTATTTGTTCATCTCGCAGTTTACCGATGTTTGTCAGCCACCTTTCCCTTGAACTGGCTTTATGGCTACAAAGAAGGTGTATAAAGATGTGTAACCTTGCTCCCCATACAGTGGGGAAAGTAAACTTGGACTTCGCCTACCTCTACGATTCGCTAGTATTCATCTAAGTTCCCAGTTGACTACTCACACCTCGTACACTACAATGGATTGCCCATCAGTCAGCGAGATGACCATCTCTGCTCTACACAAGCTCAACGACTGTCTGCAACACGCACTCTTGCGGGAATGGGCAGAGCAGCTGAAGACCTACTTCGAGAAGAACTGGAGGCAGAAACTCCGCATCTGCGCTACTTCAAACGGGATCTATGATGACAGTGGGCTGCATACAGATGAATTTGTCCGACCTCATGCTGTACGACGTTTGAAGAAACTGATCGAGGGGCTGGACGAGTGCATTGAAATTGGTATAGACACTCCCCCCTCTCCTCCGTCCAAGCGCCGTCTTCTCACTAACAACATGACAGTAACGAAGGATCAGGACTGTCTGTTTCCGGGCTGCGCTAAACATGACGAGTCAATGGAATCCGGATGTGATGAGCCAGGCCCTATAATTGAACGGCCAATGAGACCTGAAGGGGGGCCTAAACTCACAAAGGCAGTGAAAAAGGTCCAACTTAGGCTTGAAAAGATCGGCTTACTCGCTGAGAGAATGGCGGACACTTACAATGACGCGCGGGATTATGAAGCCAAGGCCAAGTTCACGTATGTGGACTATCAGAAGCTAGATGATCCCGACTATAAGCATCATCGTGATGTGGATGTTGAGGGCCTGCGCAGATTGAAGCAACATCTTGTTCGGGAGTACCATCAAGGGTATTCCATCGACTTCCCGAAATATAAAGCGGGACCTAGCGAAGACTTACCCAGCGGTAAATCTGCAGTGGCTTACCTTGAACAGAATCATCGACAGCAGGTCCACCGTTTAATCTTCGCCGTACTCCGCCGACACCACCGGCTGAGCATGTCGCGGAATGCAGCGGAGAAGCGGCGGGCCACCGCACAGGCTGCAGCAGATGGCACAGGAGACGTTTTGTCCGAGAACCCGCCGACGAACGTATTCCAACCCCAGCTGCCATCCACTGATGCAATGAGGCAGTTAGAACTTGGCTCGTGGTCCAAGGCCCCTCGTCCAGAGACCCTTGAGGGCCAGGAGCGAACATTTCAATGTCCATACTGCGGCGACATGCTCCTGGAGGCAGACTCGGAGCGCACAGCATGGTAGTAAGTTCCCGACTATCTCATAGAGAGAAGAGTCCATCAGCTAACACACAAATAGTGAACATGTAAACCGCGACCTTCTACCATTCACCTGTCTCTGGCCATGCTGTAAGCAAGAAGACCCGAAGGAATTTGCGAACGTGGTCGAATTAACAGCCCATCTCGAAGAGAATTTCGGGACAGTCGAGCACTGGGTGTGTGATCCTTGCCTTGCTCAGGGAAAGCCTTGCAACAGTTGCGAGTTCATGGACAAGAAGGACCTTGATAAGCATCTTGCCTCGGCTCATCCGAAACACAGCAATGGTTCGACTCCCACTATCCGTCTGGAGGTCCCTAGTGAATGTCCGCTATGCCCTCGCAAGCTCATCTACAAGACTCGTGGTCCGGATTCGCTTTATCCCCATGTTGCTAATCATATGGAACGGTTTGTTTCTCTGGCGTTGCCGGAGATTGGGGGTGAGGGGGCGGATTGTTAGCCTTCAGCTGCTGGGTAGGGGTTGTAGTAGGTTAGATGATTTTGTTCTTTGGGTATGAAATTTATTGGTATCAGAATGTGAATTCCAAGTCTTGGGCAGATAATATATAAATCGCTACTTTATATATAGATGCTCTGGGAAGACTAGGGAACGAGGTCTGTAGCCATAACTGATCGAGTTCCATCCAGCAACTGCCATTACTACTACTAGTATGTATGCACCATTACAGAGTATATGCATCTAGATCCACCACCCCAGTCAGGAAGTGCATTTACCCCAGACCAGACCCACCGCTGAATACGGACTCACTGACTCCACTCCAAATCATATAAAACTCACCACCCCTTAATAAAGCGATATGATGCATACAAGGCCCAGTATCCTAATGCGAAGATTGTAAGGGATTAATACTAGAGATTTAATCCGTTTATTACCAACACTAAGAACATTCTGGAATCGGATTGGTGAGGTTCTATACGTATATATCGGACTTTGGATTCCATGCAAGCCAGTGTCATATTTTACTAGGTGCGGCAGAGTGAAGAAGGAATGAAATTAAATTGGGGTGTTGAGTATTAATCCGATTATCTTGAGGGCTGTAAAAAGAGATGGGTGGTGGGGGGGGTTGGGTTATGTCGGACTTAAACAGGTAGAGTTATAATGGGACTGAGAAGGAATGAGATGAGAGGCTGGAGGGTAGTGAAATTGAAGATAGATGAGGGATTACTATTTTATGTGAAGTTGGGGCATGTTGTGGCCCTGTTGGAGGGGAGGAAAGTGGCTAGTTATGATGTTGGGGGGCTGAGGGTGCTGGTGGTTGATGCTGTGAAGAGAGTGATGGGAATTGGGGCGGTGATGAAAATATCTTGGCATAGAACTAATTGATGAAGTGAGGCGGATGGTAGAGATCTGTAAAGTCCAATGGGATGGAAGTGCTTTTCTAGTATAATGTTGGTGCATGTGAATGCCTTTGTTTATCGCGCAATGAGGCTAATAGGGTAGCGACTAACTGGGGCGAGAAGTTGGAATGGGATGATGGAATGATATGCATCGGGTCGGTCCGTCAGGTTTGCGCCACTCTACGATCTCCATCGATTGCCAACCGCAGCCATGATGGAAACAAGGGTAAGTATCTAACTATCACCAGTTAAGAAGGGAATCAGGCTGACGCTAGGCAGAACAGACCAGGGGAAGTCTCTGCCTGTCTCCGACCGCTAGTTTCCTCGAGGCCCATTCGCTATTCGAGCTACTTGCTCCCAGCAGGTGTCTAGGCTCTGCGCGATCGCATCCAGACCAGTGAATAATGCAGAGTCCATTAGGCAGACATGCATGTCAACCCGCGTCCCACGTTGCTTGCCGCATCCCACAGCCTCCCTGCGTCGAAGATCCACGGAGGCTCTGCTCTGTTGTCGTCCACTCATTCAGGACTCTTCTTCACTACTCCTGAAATCTCGAGAGTGGTGGTCATGTAGTAGACAACTGATGTCATCTGTCCCCAGGGAATCCTCTTGACCTCGTCCCTGGTGCCCGGCTGACTGATTTCTCTACTTGCCCCTGTGACCGATCGAGCAGCCACACTCCATCGCCACACTGGCTCTGCCTCTGTGAACTCTACATTCACCACACGCACAACATCCTAGCTGTTGGTAAGGCTGGAGAAAGCTCCAGCTGTGGTGATACCTTGCTCAAGCAAACCCCCCTCGCAGCGGTCGCTCAGCCATAGAGCGAGTAAGAAGCAGCCATGGCCCGGCTGATCGCGACGCCCGGTCATTGTTGCCGCGATGCGCAATATTTAACTTAAAACCCACAGAGTCGCGGCTCGCACCCGACCAGGATATTCATCATCAGGAACGATCATCTTTATGAGATCGTTTGCTATTTTAGATTCTGCCCTTCCCTTTCTTTGTTCTGTGATTTCCTTCTTTCCCTCTGCCCTCTTCACCTGCGAACACGCGCGGTTCACTCGTCTTCGTCTTTTCTTTCCCCTTCCCTTCCTTCCCCCTCCTTCACTATCAGGCGCGGTGAACCCATGACTTCACTCACATGTCTTGGATCCATGACATCGTCGCGACGCGCTGTTTTCTACAAAGTCTCCAAATGAAAACAGTACTTCCGTCTGCTTTAGTACACTGTCACAATGTGCCCCGTCTGTCTATAGTAGTGAGCTTTACGGACACTACCGTGCAAAAGTGGCCGCGATACGCCTACATCTACGCCTCATACCGATTTTCACCGCAGGGTGCGTGCCTGATCCAGCGTCGCTGTGCAAGATAGGGCATGTGCATCATCGAAGAGTATACAGTCTCGTACCCTGACGTCCGACGAAGGCGGGTCCTTCAGCGGTGCCTCTTGGGGAGATCGTTTGGGTACTGCTATCGCACCCAGGTGGTCAGCCCTGGCGAGCGCGTCCCTGAGCGCCCCGCCAGTCAATTCCAATACGCTCAGCCTAGAACCGCCCATCGACCAGCCATGCGGTCTCTGCGCCATTTGATTGTCGATCCGCGGGAGCAGCCGGCGCGGAGGAGACGGTCCCCAAGCTATCCGCGACGGATGCCCTCACGACGGAGTGATCCTTTCCGAGTTTTCTTTCCGTTTCTTCGGCGGGCTTCTGACAGCGATGATGTATGGAAGGCCGACGAATATCGGCCGCGAGGTCGGGGGCGATCGCCTCGGCCTGTCATTGTGACACCAGATGTACCGCCCATCAATCGTGAACCCCGAGGTATTCCAAGAAGACGGCCTCTAGGTTCGAAAATCAGGGTCGTCTCCCCACCACCAGAGCCTCTATACAAGGAGGAACCAATGCGACCTCGCCGCGGAATGTCACCTGCTTCACCTTCTCTCTCACCCCGGAATCCAGGTACTATCCGTCATCCGGTCATCATTCATCAGGAGTCAAAGCCACGGCCAAGTCCGATCCCTTCTTCCAGCTCATCCGGATATCAGTTCAGGAATCCATGGCGCAATAGATCTCCATCTCCAGGTCCATCCAACTGGCATCGCAAGGGACCACGGCCGAGTCCGTCTTCGTCTCCAGGACCACCGAAACCTCAGGAGGAGCCACAGCCACAACTATCACCAGTAGGAGTACCAAGTACTGATGCTCCAGCAGCACCTCTCACCCCACCCCGGAAGAGAGAGCGACGCCCCAGGGAGCGTTCCCCATCTATCGAGCGTGTACAAGTTCGCAAAACACGTTCTTCCCCAACCGTTCCGGTGGAGGTGCACAACCCTCCAGCTCCAGACAGCAGCCCCAAACCGGTGCCAGCGTCAAGCACCCCATCTCCAGGGAGTGGGCCCCGCCACGTGCAGTTTTCCGACATAGTGGACCACCTCTCCATATCCGGTGAGAGCAATGTGCCCTCTTCTCCGACCGGCCCTCCGCGCTTCTATAGACAGTTTGGCAGCGCAAGCCGCCGTAGGTCACCGACTCCTGGACCTACCCCCAGACTAGGAGGAGGAAGAGGTCGCTCAAGCTCAGAAAGGATTAGATATGTGTATGCGTCTCCTGCTGCGAGTCGTTCATATCCCCCGGGCGTTGAGGTGCTGATTGTGACTCCGCGCAGGTATCGGCCGGAAGGAATCACCCTACCACTAAGTCGGGCGACCGATATTTGCGAGGTTGAGCCTGGGAGAAGGAGTTCATCGTCTGGACGGGCTGCTAGGGGGGTTTTGGACGGGAGCGGTTTGCGGGTGGAGGCTCGGCGTAGACGTGGGATGGGGAGGGAGGAGCTGGGAAGTAGCGCGAGACCGAGGATCATATCACTGTCACCACCCAGAGGGCGATGGAGACCGAGAGTGGGTGGGACTGAGCGGTATGGGGGTTTCGACTTGGGAGATGGACGCGTCGTTAGGGATCAGGGTGGTTCGGCGCGTGTGTGGAGATGGCTGTGAGAGATGTGGATCATGGTGGAAGTTTGTAAGATGTTATTGTCAGAGGAGACCTTTCGGATTATTTCTTATGTTTATTGTGTTGATTATCTTGATGAAAAAAACATTTTCTGAGAGCCCATATTAGATTAAAAATGTTATGGCAATTAGCTGAGAGATGACGGAAAGCAAGTAAGCAAGCAGGATGAAGCTGGAGAAGCTCCCCACATGACTATCTCCACGTGACCCAAAGGGACCTCGGCAGCGGTTAGCGGCGGGCCGGCGGGCGGAGAAGAGGAAGAGGAAGAGGAGAAGGAATGCATGTGCATCTCATCCCATCTCCCCTCACTCTGCTGTACTACACATCTACCTGCCTTCTGCTTCTTCATCACCGTCCTCATCACTATCACTCCATCCCTTACTCTTTTTCTCTTTTGATTCTTTGTCTAGCTACGATACCCACAATGCTTGCCTCTCGTCTCACCCCGCGGACCATCCCCGCACGCCAATGGCGTCGACACTTCAGCGCCGCCCGTCCAGCTCTGAAGGAGATCCAAGATGCCTACATTCTCAGCGCTGCGCGCACTCCTACAGCCAAGGCACGATCCCTTACACCCAACGTTCACAACCGTACTAACCAGACTACAGTTCAACGGCTCCTTTGTCTCCGTCCCAGCCCCCCAACTCGGCGCCGTGGCGATCAAATCCGCCGTCAGCAAATCTAACCTCCCCACCGAAAAGATCACAGACGTGTACATGGGCAACGTCCTCCAAGGATCCGTAGGCCAAGCGCCCGCGCGTCAAGCCTCCATTTTCGCCGGCCTCGCTCCCACCGTCGAAGCCATGACCGTGAACAAAGTATGCGCGTCCGGATTGAAAGCCGTCGCTCTGGCCGCCCAGAACATCCAGCTCGGACTAGCAGAGGCGCAAGTGGCCGGTGGTATGGAGAACATGTCGCGTGTGCCCTACTACATGCCACGTTCCAGTCAGTTGCCTCCCTTTGGGGAGATCAAGCTTGAAGATGGCCTGATCAAGGACGGCCTGTGGGATGTGTACAACCAGATTCATATGGGTATTTGCGCGGAGCAGACGGCCAAGAAATACGAGGTATCACGGGAAGAACAGGATGAGTATGCAATCCGGTCGTACGAGCGGGCGCAGAAGGCCTGGGCTGAGGGTTTGTTTGGCGAGGAAATTGCCCCTGTGACGGTGAAGGGCAAGAAGGGGGATACGGTGGTCGAGAGGGATGAGGGCGTTGAGAACCTCAAGGCAGACAAGCTGCGCGGGTTGAAGCCCGCGTTCTTACGGGACGGCACCGGCACAGTCACGGCGGGTAATGCGTCCACGATGAACGATGGCGCCTCCGCCGTGGTGGTGGCTAGTCGCGAGCTGGCCAGGGAGTTTGGCACGGGCAATCGTGCGCTAGCGAGGATTGTCAGTACTGCTGATGCAGCTATCGACCCTGTTGATTTCCCCGTGGCCCCGGCCAAGGCCGTCCCGATTGCGCTAGAGCGCGCGGGCATCAGCAAGGAGCAGGTTGCCGTGTGGGAGTTTAACGAGGCATTTGCGGCGGTGATCAAGGCCAACGAGAAGGTAAGTCATACTCTTCCTGGTAGTTGACGATAAGCTAATGAGGATAGATTCTTGGACTGCAAAACGCGCGTGTCAACCCGCTGGGCGGGGCCATCTCGCTGGGTCATGCACTGGGCAGCTCGGGCTCGCGCATCCTGGTGACGTTGCTGCACCAGTTGCAGCCGGGCGAGTACGGTGTGGCAGCCATCTGCAATGGCGGAGGAGCAGCTAGCGCGATGGTTGTGCAGAAGCTGGACCGGGTGGACTGAATTATAAGCACTGTACATATATGACTGACAGATTGATGCCCATGTTCATGCTAGCTAGCGGTCAATTGAACCCTGCAGAACAAACAACCTCTTAACCTAATAATGTCCTTGCACCGTCAATGTCCCTGTCTTCGTGACCAAATACTCATCCACAGCCACATCCTTTCCACTCTCCTTGCCATACCCACTCTCCTTCATGCCCCCAAACGGCGCCTCCGCCGCCGACATACTCCCCGTATTCAAGCCCACCATCCCCGCCTCCAGCTTCTCAAACAACCTCCACAAGCGATCCGCATCCTTAGTAAACGCATAACTCGCCAGTCCCATACTGGTATCATTCGCCCACTGCACCGCCTCATCCTCCGTATCAAAGGCATACAACGCCGCCACCGGCGCAAACGTCTCCTCGCGACTAACCAACATCTCCTTCTTCATCCCCGTCAGAATCGTCGGCTGGAAGAAATACCCCTTCTTCCCCTCCACCCTGCCTCCACCCAATATAACCTCTGCCCCCAGCCTCCTCGCATCCTCAATCTGCATCTCCGCCTTCCCTAATCCCCTCTCCGTAGTCAACGGGCCCATCCCCACCCCTTCCTCCATCCCATGGCCCACGACCAACTTCTCCGTCCTCTCTCTCAACATCGCTGCAAACTTCTCATACACCCCCCTTTGCACATACACCCGATTTGCAGTAATACACGCCTGGCCAGCATGCCTCCACTTCAAATTCATCAACGCCTTGACCGCCTCCTCCAGATCCGCATCGTCAAACACAATAAACGGACAATTCCCGCCCAGTTCCAACGTCACCTTCTTCAACCCATCCGCACAAATCCCCGCAATCAGCTTTCCCACCCTCGTCGACCCCGTAAACGTCACCTTCTTCACCAACTCATGTCGACACAACGCCTCACTCAGTGACGGCGTATTCTCCATATCCGTCGTCAACACATTAATCACCCCCGCCGGAAACCCCGCCTTCATCGCTAACCCCGCTATAACCAACGCACTCACCGGACTCTCCGGTGACGGCTTCACCACCATCGTACACCCCGCCGCGATCGCCGCCGCCACCTTCCGAAGCACCATAGCCACCGGGAAATTCCACGGCACTAGCGCCGCTGCTACCCCAATCGGCTGCTTGATCGTTAGCACCCGCCGTCCTGGCACTGCTGCCGAACTAATCGTGCCCGAGACCCGCTCGGCTTCGCCTGAGAACCATCGCGTGAACGACGTCGCGTAGTCGATTTCGCCGAGCGCTTCGGCGAGAGGTTTGCCTGTCTCGTGCGTGATGATTTTGGCCAGGTCGGTTTTGTGGGTCCGGATGAGACTGTCCCAGGCTGTGAGGAGTTGCGAGCGGTAGTGCGCCGTGGTGTGTCGGAAGCTGAGGAATGCCGTGTGTGCGGAGACGACGGCGTGGTCGGTGTCGGCTGCTGTGCAGGTTGGGATGAGGGCCCAGGGGAGGGAGGTGCCGGGGTCTGTTTGTTTCTTGTTAGTTGGAGATTGGGTAGATCGGGGGGGGGGTAGGGTGGTAGGGATGGGGTTACCGATGACTTCAAAGTGTTGGTTGCTTTGGGATTTGATCCAGGTGTTGTTGACGAAGGCGTCGAAGTGAAGGATGGAGGGGTCGGAGAGCTGTACATATAGTAAGTACGACATGTTAGATGAGGGGGTTCAAGTAGGATATGGTGGATGCTGGGTTCGTACTTGAAATGGAAGCTCGTATTGCGCCATCTTGAGTGGGATCCGTTTACGATCAGATAGTAGTTGATGTTGAGTAGAGTTATGTATGAGGGACGAGATGGATGGATATCAGGGGAGTATCACAGTTAATAAGGATGTATGAAGAAGAGGGGAAGATAAGCAACCCCGCACCTCGGATGTCGGCAAGTTTATTACTACCACAGACTGCTATTGGATCACTCGTTATCGTCACGCTGATCATATTCTACTATATACATAACAACAACAGCTCGTCTACATAACAGCTGGTATCCACCTAGTGCAGGTACTCATTCACCACCGCCGTGAACGCCGCCGCATTCTCCAGCATCGGTAAATGACCCGCCTTCGGCACCAACTTCAACTCGGAATCGCTCTTCAGATCCGCCACCATCTGCTGCATTGTCTTCGGCAGCACACCGTCACTCTCGCCCGCCACAAACAGGCCCGGCACCTGCGCCTGCGCCATCCGGTCCCGCACATCATACGCACACAGTGCCTGCACGCTCTGCCTGAACCCGGGCAGACTGTTCGTCCGCACCAGCTCCTTCGCCTTGGCGGGCAGGTGGGGCTGAGTCTCATACGACTCGGCCGTGAACCACCGCCGCACGGTAATCTCGGCCAGTTGCTCGCCGACAATCGCCTGCTGCGTGGTAGCTGACACAGCACCCTCGCTGGCTGCCAGCTCGACACGCTCGTTCCACGCCTTCCGGTTCGTCTCGGGGCTGGAGCTGTTGGTGTCGCAGGAGATGAAGCGCTCCACGCGCTCCGGGTACAGCAGGGAGGTGTTCAGCACCGTTACACCACCCAGACTGACGCCGATAAGGGTGGCCTTGGGAACGCGCAGAGCGTCCAGCAGTGCGATGATGTCCGAGGCCAGGAGATCAATGTTGACGGGCTTATCGCCGCATTCTTGCTGGCGGCCACGGGTGCAGTAGCGGACAATGCGGAAGTTCTGGTTGCGAGGGTCAGAGAGGAACTGGTCGATGAAGTCATCCCAGATAGTGTAGTCCACCAGGATGGAGTTGCTGAGCACGATGACCGGACTGTGGGGGTCGGTGCTGCCCTCCAAACGGTAGGGGAGCTCGACGCCGTCAGGGGTGGTGACGAAGGACTCGACGGCCGGGCGGGTGGGAGAAGGCAGGGTGCGGGTTTTGCCGTCGATAGACGACCAGGGACCGATGCAATCCGCAGAGGTCAGGGATGACAGCTCGCGGGGAGCGGGTCCGAAGGTGTAGGCCCACTGATAAGTGCGACGGCGGGCCTTAGCCACGACGTCGGTCATAATGCGGGTGCGCCAGGGGGTGTCTGTCGCAGCCTTGTATTCGGGACCGCCCAGACCATTCTGAGCAGCGTACTCATGCACGGCCAAGTATTCGCGAGGGGCCTTGGGGTCGATGGTGGAGGTGACGAAGAGGCGGGAGGAGCGCCAACCGGGCACGCGGGACAGCATGGGGATGTGCTCTTCGCGGTACCAGCGGGTGAATTCGTCCTCTTTAGCGGCGTCGGCGGAGGAGAGGGAGAGGGAGACGGCGATGAGGACGGAGCCGGCAGCCTCGGTATCGGGGGTAAGCTCGAGGGGTTTGTAATCAGCCGCCTTTTGCTCGAGAACGGTATCGTAGAGCCGGCGATCGACGTCAATCTGGGCCATGGTAGCCTTTTCCCGGGGGGTCTTGATAGTGTCGCCGCGCAGGGCAAGGTAGGTCTCGCGCGTCAACTCCACCATGTCGGTGATATCGTAGAGGGCCACCCACTCGGGCTCCTCGCCGTCGGTCGCGCGATAGCGGAAGCCATTGGTGCAGAAGGGCAGACGCAGGCGCAGAGGGCCGTGTTCGGTGTTGTACCAGTCGTGGAATTGAGCGGCGGGGAGGGAGGGACGAGGGTTCATCGTCACCCAGAGAAGGCCGGGGGTCGCCATTTTGATGTTGACTGAAGATACCGCCGAAATCGAGAGAAATGAAGCAATAGGAAAGGAATATGAGAGACCGGATCAACAATGAGGGGCAGATGGCGGGGTGACCCGCGATAATAATTATTATAACGAGGGCGTTCCGACTGACTGCCGACCACACAGCCGATGGCCGCCGGGTGAAGTCATCGGGTATATCTTCAAGTTCGGGTCTTCATTCCCCAGACACAGTTGGCGGGGAGCCACTGGTAGCCACTGGGGTTGGGGGTAGTTCATACTCCATCATGTCATGGTATGCAGAGGGGATGTTCTCCAGACAGGTTCAACTAGTAAGAGGAGCTCAATAATGGAAGAAAGGTGTGCTTTGTAAGAAATCAGCTGGGAATATGCTGTGCAGCCTGTGAGTTCAGGCAGGAATCTCGGCAGCCAGGAACTGCCGAGTCACCTGATATATTTGCTTTGCCCGTCGATGCCTTGTTGCCTTATTGATTACGATTATGTCAGCCCAGCGCGGAGCTGCACCCCGGTATCGCTCTGGCAGCCAGGCGCTTGCTGCTACGGGTTATCTGTTCATAACCTTATTTCATCAGCTATATGGGCGATCAAATGGCTTGAGATACATGCCAGGGGGAAGATGATGAGGTAGCCTCCGGTGACGTGACCACCTCCAGTGACATCAAATGCTATGCGAAATCGGAAGAGTATGACATGGTAATTTGAGCGAATTGGATACTATCAAAAACATGGGCCACCCTCGGAATGACCTTAATCAATGATTTCCTGATGCTCCAGAGCAGGGGTTGTGGGGCTATTGGCTTGTTAAGAATCGGCCAAGTATGACCCCAACGGCTACACTCAGGTTAGAGTAGGGTAATTGACCTCAAGGTCTTCTATTACATGGCAGGGAACATAGATTGATACTCATCACCAACGCACAAGTTTACTTATTTAGTTGCCTGGCAGGCAATTATTGGCGTTTCTGTGACATTGTTCAGGCTGTGCTTCTACACCTCACAGATTACTTCTCGCCTGGCATTACCGATTTTCATGTTGGCCCATAGAAGGGGGAAATCGCACTGTAAAAAGATTCTACGAAGGAGAAGAAACGTTTGGAGCGACTGATTACCCGCGAGTTTGCGCGACGATACGAGAATGGTGGGTGATTAGGCGGATTTTCCATTCACATCTCTTTTGCAAGTAACCTAGAGTGTGTCGGCAGACATTCTCTAACGCCTTGTTCACTCACTCTTCCAGTCCTGCTTGATGAGGTCCGCTGCTCTTTCCGCGAATGCGTACACAGTGGCTTGCAGATTCGCCGTGCTTACAAGCGGGATGGCACTCGCATCCACGACCCTCAGTCCTTCGATACCATAGACCTTTAAACTGGAATCCACTACTCCGTCCTTTTCACGAGGCAGCATGGAACAGGTCCCCACAAAGTGCCACATAGAGACCAAATTATCCCGAGCATACTTCTTTGCGGCATCTAAGTCTCCCTGGAAGTCTGCAGCCGGGTCACGGAACTTCAGTGGCTGTTCGAGAAGCTCGCCAAGCTGAGGTGACTCTGCTAAGTTCTTGACACCGAGCAAGTGCCGTGCTATGACTTCCAGATCGAGAGGGTTTGACAGGTAACCAGGATCAATCATTGGAGGGGTTTCGGGGTTGTTGGAAGTACTTGGGTTCGTTTTGTCAGATTTGATGAATATAGAGTTGGTAGGGAGTTGGAAGCTTGTGAAGAAGAAAATGCTAAAGTTACTCACATATAAACGCTTCCGCGGGAAAGGGGTTGAGAGAGCATAACTCCAAGCGTAATGAACTTTCCAGGCGAAGCAGCTGGAATAGTCCCATCATTCAGGTCTTTGGAATAATTCGTCTGCCCTAACGCGGCCAGGTACGCAGCTGATGGTTGCTTAGAGTCAAGAATGGTGGTCTTTGCAATGTCATAATAAGCCTGTGTTGCCTTGTGTTGTTGTGAGTTATCGAGAGTGTCATCTGAAAGTAGTGCCTGAAGAGCACTTCTGTCAGGGTCAGGAAGAGACAAATAGGCGTAGGTGTAAACCCCGAGGGAAGCTAGGGGCCCAGATCCCGTGGCAGCGTATTCCTGCATTGCCTGACCGATGGCTTCAGGCTCTTGTCTGACCAGAGAGTCCTTAGTCTCGATCTCAGGCTTTGCTTGGAATGCGGTGTACGAGATCATATGATCTAGAAGTAGTCGAGGTTAGTTTTCACTCCAAAGCGAGTATGCGTCAATAAGGAAGATGGTTTCACGTTATTTGTGACCGATACTAGATTAGAAGCTGTTCACATACCCTGAAGATTCTGCCCAACTCCAGGAAGGTCCATGACAATATCGATGCCATGCTTCTCAAGAAGTTCTGCTCCACCGACTCCTGAAAGTTGGAGAATTTTGGGAGATTGAAAAGCGCCAGCAGCAAGTATAACTTCATTCCTTGCCTGAAAAGTCTTTGAAACACCATCGTGACTGTATTGGACTCCAATAGCTCTGGGAGGCTTGCTTTCGTCAAACAGAATTTTCTCAACCAATGAGTTCGTAAGAACGTGAAGATTATGTCGAAGCTCAACAGGCTTATAGTAGGCCGAGGTGGAGTTGCTTCTCTTGCCCTCCGAGTCGATACTAGCAAGGCAACTGAATGATCCTACAGAGCTGTGGATGAACGGATCCCCGGCGTTGTATTGCCCATTGTTACGAAACAGTTCGGCCCATGCCTTGCGAATAGGATGTGCCTCATTGCCAAAAGATGTTTGGATCGGGCCTTTCGCTTCGTTCAATTCAGGCCAGCCCTCAATTGCTAGACCTTCTTTGGCATCCTGTGTCACAGTCGGACTGCTATAGGCCTTGGAGAAATAATCCCTTAGCATGGTCCAATTCCATCCGAGGTTACCGAGTGCCTCCCATGAGTCAATGACTCCCTTGAAAGGAGGAACAAAAACGTGTGCATTCAATGAACTGGATCCTCCGAGTGTCTTGCCCTGGTTAAGACCAAGCACTCTGCCGTTGAGGCCTGGCTGCAAAAGCAATGGGTAAGCCCACACCCTTTATTAAGATAGACGGTCATTACCTGAGGGGAAGATTTGAACTTCCAATCGGCGTCGGATCCAAGCAGTGCGGCATAGAAGATGGGAATGTTAACGCGGGGATCTGCTGTCAAGTCGGCGCCTGCTTCGAGAACCAGGACAGAAGTGTTGGGGTCCTCGCTGAGTCGAGAAGCAACAACCAGGCCAGCCGTACCGCCACCAATGATGACAAAGTCATATACAGCGGCCATTTTGTACTGTGCGCAGACTTAGTAAAGGATTGGACGAGGTAGGAAAATGGAGCTGCAAGCGTAGCAACTAAGTCATTTGTTAGAATGAGCAGGAATACCCTTGGACTGGAAATATATATATTGTTACTAGTAATCGGATTACCTTCCAATACTAACAGAATAGTGGACAAAGAAACAGGCTTCGATCAATACCACCCAATGAGAGTACTACATGCAAATGCTATTGAAATCGCTCCACAAACGCCAGTTTTACCCCGCCCGAAAGTACTTTTGCTGGTCTATCGATCGGGTCACCCAATGCAGTTTAGCCTGAGTGTAATTGTTATGGTGTACTTAAGTCATCTTACCAGCTTCTGCTCCACTCTAATTTCAATTGCTATTTACGTAATGTAAATTCAAGGGTTAAAATGATTATTGCGGTCTTTGTCGAAATTGGAGAATGGAGAACTGTCCTGAAGTTTACATAGGTTTAAACTTAAAGAATTAAACCTAGAGTACTCATGGTCTGGTGAAAGGGGCTTTAGGAGAAAACTGAGAACGGACATTAGAAGTGCATCCGGGAAACCTTATATCAGCCTTAGAGATCGTAGGTTTTTGGATTGTGATACGAACACTGACAAGGCTAATGGCCTGATAAAAAGGCATCAGTGTACAAAACGGCCTTAAATATCGGCGGTGAGGTCTCATTTCTGACTAGATGTATTTCAGCGGTCTTAGGTTACAATGAAATATTATTTTTGAGCTTAGAATTGAAAGGCTTTACTAGCGGCTGGAAATTAGAGCCTCTTAATGTTGGAATCCTTGTTCATTTGTAAGATAATGAAAATTGGTAGTCTTGCTGCCCGAAAGCGGACTTAGAAGATCTTTAGATTGATTCAATGATAGTATTGTGTGGGTAATTGTTCTCGGTCCTGTATTCACACCGTCACATACGTGTTCTCAGAATCTCAGCCTCGTCCAGACGTCCAGAGTATCCTGTGGCTCCCAGCAATCACGGCCTTTATTTGGCGGAATGCATTTTGGCCCCGCTCAGGCAACGTTTGGACTTTGAACACTCGAGGCTTCTCCCGGCCGGTTCAGCACGAACTAATCGGGTCGTGAATCCAGCAATCTGACGCGGATCTGCTATTTAATGCCGTGAGATGGAGCAAGTCCTGACAGTACCTTCCTCTTCGATCATCGTACCTTCCTACTAAGCTATATTAATGGTAGTGCCGCACTCTAGTCCCACTTAGGCCATAGGCTAAACCTCTAAAGTAGTAGTAATAGCCAGTCATATGATTCTGTAGGCGGGTAATTCACTTATCAGAAAGATATACGTACAGTTATCTGCCCTAGCTCTCTAATTTCTACCAGGAACCCCACCTAGAGCCTCCCGACTCCTCCAAAGCGCCCCCCCCCCCCCCCCCCCCCCCCGAGAACCCCCGTAGAGGGCCCCGCATACATCTGGTACAATTACTAGTAAAATTGCCTGTTGTATTAATAGACAGAATCTCATATAGAGACTTTGAATGGGGTCTCTACAGAAGATCTTCAGAATATCTGTTGAGAGAGTGTGAGGGAAAAGGCCTCCGGGAGAAAATCTCTGGAAAGAGACCTTTGTGGAAGAACTCCCGGGGAATTCCGGGAAGTCCAAGAAAAGGATTAACTAGTATATAGTGTAATTACTAGCATCAAGAGCGACCACTTGAACGAGGGATTAAATCAACAGGGTTCTTTTGGTCTTTGATTTCAAGGCTGCCGAGGTCGAGTTGTGTCGGGCTTTTGACATGGGTCCTGACAGAGCTATTACTCTTGCACTACTTGTGTATGACTGTCCAAAGATATACTATATTTCCAATGTATAATGCAAGAATATGAAGTGGGCTTCGACAATAAAGACAAAATGAAAACATGTTTGTTTTCCAGCCAGTTACAGAATTATCTAACACTTGTTATACACATCTACCTCTAAAAGATTCGCGCTTGTCATGAAAATACACAGTATGTTGGGGGCTGGGTTAGATGGGATCGGCGCCCGTGCCCTCCCGTAGGTGTGCCCGAGTGAGTTGTCTGTGCCCGGCGGGCGGGTGGGCCGGCCGGTTCGGCCAGTCCCGGAGAGTTTGTTGAGCTTTGGAATGTTGTTCTCGCAAGTTTCTCACCAATATTTCATTCTCCTTCCTCACGTTCAGTATTTTCGTAACAAGGTGCCAAATAAATTGGCGACTGGATACATCACCGACTACATGTTGAAACGGGATTGCTCCGGCGGTTTAGCCAGGTCGAACTTGATCCTGCCCCTGACCAAAGCCATGAAAACGTAGGCCTCAGGTCCATGGGGACAGACGCTAAAGATGCTGGCAGAAGGAAACAAATATGCCTCATTTGAGTCAGCTGGCAAGGACACAAGTGTCAGAAGGAACAAATATGTTGTGAGCAGGTGCCTGGATGAAGAACAGATCAGGATGGACTCGCAGGCAGCTGGTTGACTGGCGGCCCTCGTTTATATTTCCACATTGTGTATGACTCTGCTGTGCTTTCGTTGTAAATTTGGCTTCGTCGGCTGCGGCGACGACTCCCTACGTCGTAGCCTGCGTTGTTTATGGTTTCAAGTGTTCACTTCGGGTTTGAGGGATTTGCTAACGTTCGGGACCATATTCTCTGCTTCAAACGGCGAGCCACCTCCATGGCTAGTATCTAAATAGCAGGTTCAGTCAGCAATAATGATTTGAATTGAATTAATTGCATGTGAAGGCTGCTCAGCGCGAGGCCGCACCACTAGGGAAGTATGGCCGTTGCTATTGCGGCTCTTGGTCTCTGAAAGGGGACAATTTCACCCGGTATGCTATGACTGACTGAGTCCTCAGCCCTATAAGGTACATTCAGGATCAATTATCTAGCGTCGGATTTAACAGGGGCCTCTCTTCTGTATGCAATGCTTGGTCATAAAGTTAATACAAATTCTAGCAGTATGGTTTAGTATTACTCCTGGATCAATTCCAGCTGAGTCTTCTAGGATTTGCCGGTGTAACTAAAGACACGATATCATGTACTACAAAAGATACGGCAGACATCCTTTTATCATCTTTAAGAAGATACTACCAGTCACTGAATTTATAGCTCTGTGATATATACAGACAGGATACTTCAGCAATATCAACATACGTATGTCTATTAGTAGTAACTAAATATTTCAAGTACTGTAGAATATTTTGCTCCCGGTTATAGAACGAATCAGAGTAAAGAATACAACAAACAACAAGAAACAAACGGAAAACCCCCCGAATCAACTGTAAAAACCCTCCGACTTTAAACCCTCCGACTGAACCCCCCGACTGAACCCCCCGACTGAACCCCGCGACTAAAACCCCCCGAAGGTTGAACCCTCCGACTCGGCATTCATCGGTGTCATATTTACCGGTGTTTTCGGCGTTTCGGCGATTGAGTTGAACCCCCCGGCACAATGCCGAGCACCGAACAGCATCTGGAGGGAACGGCGACAAGGGTTTCGGCGTTTAGGGAGTTCCCTTCAAGTGCAAGGGTTTGCTTTCGCCGTGCGATCGAAGGGTTTTTGGCTTAGAAAGCATAAGTCGGAAAATGCAATTGGACATACTTGATTGAGATGATCACACATTCGGTATTGCTTATGAGTATGGTTAGGTGAACTAGTTAACTTGCCGAAGTGATCGATCTTCGATCGATCTTCGATTGGAATTCGATCATAATAGATCGGACTATTATACTACTATCTCTTGGTCCGGTTAATCTTGCTTTGGGACATTCCAATGTCGGCCACGGACTAGCGGGAAGAGAATTGTGCAAGTGGGGCTATTTTGTCCATGTTGAATGTTATTCGATGGAAATGAAGATTGTCAAGGGTATAACTATAAATGTAGTATATTTTTTATCCCTAGTTATCAAATGATTGAAGTGTCTATGAGCATATCCAAGGCCTTTTGCGGACTCGGGCCCCTCACTCATCTCCCGACCAATAGACTTGGACGTGCTCAGGTTAAGCTACCATCGCAGGGCCGGGGAAGGTTCTTATTGTGGGCGTTTAAATTCAGTATTTCCACTTGATTAGTTCAATAACATTCCATCTGTTTTAGCAATTCTCTATTTCTGCTGTAGCGGTGATTTCTTCTTCCCAGGGCAACCAAATTTCGTAATCATCATGGAGGTATGTATGTGTTATGGAAATGACGTTGCTAATAGCAAAAAACAAATATCTTCGTGTCCATGACAAGCTGTTAGTGGATTGACAATGTCCGGGAACCTAGGACCCTGAAAGCTGGGATATGGGTTCCTCTAACCATGGCTAGCCAGACAAAGCCAGTTAGATTATATCTAACTCAGAAAATGTATCAGATACTAATATTTCACAGACAGAATTGGACGGCGAGAACACGACAGCACCATGCGTGGGGATCCGAATAAAAATAGCCGGATCGGCAAGCTTGACCCGGACAAGCCTTCGCTAAATTCTTGGCTATCCACGGCCAGACAGCCAGAGTAGCTGGTACCATTCAGTTAGTGCCAACCTTGACGGCGATTGATGAACGCTGAACGGCTGTTCGCTGCTGCGCCACAACTTGGTGTGCTGCTGCTGCCTAGTCCCCTCTTTTCTTCCGAAGATCCTGGACTTTCCCCGATCGCTCGTGAACTTTTGACTGCACCCCATGCGGCGACAGTCCGTGTCCTACGAGAGTGCACCGCAGCTATGGCATTTCAAGGCTCACGCGATCAATTTGAACAAGGGGAGCCGTCTTCTTCCCGTTCCATCGCTAAGTACTCTCCTTTAGAGATGGTTCCTGAAGTAGACTCCGATCAGGATGAGTCCCCCCTTGAAGTCCTGCCTCTGAATAACTTTGGCCCCAAACGTCGGCGGCGGCGAACGACGACTCGAGTGCAACGCAGCAGGCTGCGCAGCCTATGTAGTTTCTGGAAATGCCGACATCTGTATTGTCACATTCACCCGTACTCGCGACGAGCCATGACTTGCCGATTTGTAAAGCGTCCCTTCTGGGGCGTTGTGATCGTGCTGTGAGTGTTGGTTTGCTCAACAACGGTATTGACTGCTGCTAATCCCATTAAGCGGCCTCCTCAAACTCGCCTCTATCTTTTGGTCTGGTTTAGTCTACCTCTTTCCAGACGACCTTGACGCCCGCCTCGACGCCTGGGTCTTCCCCGCCGGTCGCCCATCCATATTCTCACATTGGACCACCCACGGCGTCGTCCCCGTGCGATGCCACTCACACAACGATTATTGGCGCGACGTACCGCTCCATTCGGCCCTCAGCGCAGGCTGCATCGGCGTTGAAGCCGACGTCTGGTCGTCCGATAACGACTTGCTGGTCGGACATACCCCCTTCACACTGCACCACGAAGTCACTCTCCGCAGTCTGTACCTCAACCCTTTGTTGGACCTACTCCAGAAGCACAACACCCGCTCCAGCCAACTCGAGCCCGCGCACCTTCCCGGCAGCTTCCGCGCCGGTGTATTCTCCAGCGACCCATCACAAACGCTGGTCCTGCTCATCGACTTCAAGGAGCAGCCTGAGGCCACCTGGTCCATGGTGATGGAGCAGCTCCAACCCCTCCGTGACGGCGACTACCTCACCTATTTCAACAGTACCGACATCATCACCCGGCCCATCACAGTCGTTGCTACCGGCGATGCGCCCTTCGATCGCATCACTTCGAATCAAACATACCGAGATATCTTCTACGACGCCCCGCTTGACCAGCTCGCCCTCCTTCCACCAAGCACCGGACAACCCGATCAGCCGGATCCAGAAACAGAGCCTACCTACTCGTACAAGAACAGCTACTATGCCTCTGTCGACTTCCGCAAGACTATCGGCAGTCTATCCCGCAATCGCTTCTCGCAGGGACAGCTGGAGCTGGTTCGGAAGCAGGTTGAAGCTGCGCACGCGCGTGGTTTGAAGGTGCGGTACTGGGGTACCCCGAGCTGGCCGCGTGGTCTGCGGAACCATGTTTGGCATGTGTTGGTGCGGGAGGGAGTGGATTTGATTAATGTAGATGATTTGAGGGAGGCCACGAGGCAGGATTGGAGGAAGCACCGGAGTTGGATCTTTTGATGGTTCGTGGGTGAAGAAATAGCATGGTTATATGTGCAAGTATATGTCAGCCACGAAGTCATGGATATATGGATGTAACTTGCTTGTTGGGATTACGTTTCTCGGCTTAGTAAATAGTTCAGTATGCAAAATCTAGGTATGGTGGAGGAGAAGCTGCTCAATCAAGTCCACAGTACCTTAACGTCATCGCAAACCTATGACAAAAGTGCCACGGAGGTCCTACTGGTTGGGCCTCTTCCAGCACTACTACCTTATTCGGTAGGTACATGTCCCGATTATATACTATTCCCTGTTTGGGTTGTCTTCATCTGGTTCTTCCTTTCCGAGCACGAAATGTCCCGTAATCTGAGCGAGTCCTCTCAATAAGTTATAGCCTCCGATAGCCGACAAAGCCGCAGAGGACTCTCAACAGGGAATTTCTAAGTCTTATTTCCTACGGACAGACACATATCCCCACGTCCCTGTAATATTTGCCAAGCCGTTTGTCCAGAATAACCACCAAGAATAGACCCCTGGGCATCGATTATGGGGTGAAATGCGTAGAAGCAGCTGTGATTGACAATACGTTTGAGCTTATCATCGGTGATAACTATTTAGATAAAGCGATTCCTACTTCAGGCTGTCTAAACTTCAGTTACACATAACAGTGCAAGCATTGGAGTGGAATTGTTGAGCTTCGTAAAGTTATTTCGCTTAACTCAGCCTCTCGGTCAGCCGTTGGAGGCGGATAATTCCTGCACCGACCGCGTCGCCCCTTGTCGCCAAGAGGGATTCAGTTGCTCCATTCCATATACCCTCAATTACATATAACCCAGTCCTACCACTGCCGTGCCAAATTTTGGTGGTTAAGATTCCCCGTATCCAATTTTCTCTATTATATCCTACATAAATACTATCATGGACTACTTTGAAAGTGATCTTGTCAAGCCCCCAATTCCTTATATCAAGGGGTGGAGATTCAGTGCCAGGTCACATACTACTCCAGCACCCACACCAGTGACCCTGGACGGATGCCGCAATTCTGACCGTGGGAGGGAAGAAAGAGCAAGTCTTGGTCCAGTGGCTCGGTGCTGCAAAAATCCCCCGCTACCAGGGGATCTCGGACAACAAACTGTCGAACTCGAGGTCTTGGACCCGATAAGAGTCGGTGACGGACATAGTGCACAAGTGTTTCAAGTCCGTGTCTTGAATCCGGAGTCGAACACCGAGGTCTTTCAGAGGACAAGTCAATTGGTCGCCAAGGTGTATGATCCGCTCTATCTTGATGACCACGGCGGTTACCTCAATCCATTTCTCTGCGTAATAAGCATTACACCCATGAGGCACAAACGTATCGGGCGCTCTCCGATCTTCAAGGAGGATTAATACCTCGCTTTTATGGGTCTTATTCCACCGATATAACATGTCGGGATGTTGGCGACGATACGGAGACAGATGAAACATGTTCACGGCCTGTGCGCCTGATCTTGATTGAGCATATCCCTGGAAAGTCGATGTTACAAGCCGGCCCAAGCAATTTTTCCCAACAGGATCCGCCAGCAAATCATGAAATCTGTGATAGAATTTGAGTCTGAAGTCTATAGACGAGATATATTACTTACCGACTTGAGTCCCAGGAATGTTATGATGGTTCCACCGGGCTCGCGCCGGCAATGCAACCTTGTGTTTCTGGACTTTGCTGGCAGTCTCTTCGGCAGAAAACTGGATGAGCCGCTGCTAGCCGGTAGGGAGTTTTTCCTTGGGCAGTATATCTCTCCAATTCTGCGATGGAAGAGGGGCATGAAGCTTGAATTCGACGAATGGATTGACTGGGAATGGGCGGACTGGGTCGATGCGGAATTTGCTCATACCGCCCACACTATCACCCCAGCGATGCGTGAGAGATACAGTAAGACATAGGTGTGCTCACATGGCAGGATGATGTTATGTATATCTATTCTCGACCACCCGAATGAATTCTACACACATCAGTGCATTTTGAATCTTGGTACAGCCAGTTTCACTATAATGCAAACTACGATGATATACACCATTGACTGGTATCGGGCGCCGAGTCTGGCCGATTCGGGGTGTTACGGCAGGCGTAATACCAGAACGTCCACGACAAGCCTTTCTGAAACCATCTGAAGTCCATGGGCCTTTCCCACGGCCCTAGAATGTACATCTAAGAAATTGCCTGAATGATCCATGCGAACAGCGTACCCTTGCCCTGAAATATGATACTGGCAAGAATGAAATGAGTGAGAGTTGGATATTTGAATGCAGCATATCTCCTTGGCGAGCACAACACAGTACCTCTCAGTCTGATCATCCCGCAGATGGGTATTAATCGCTTCGAGCGCAATAACTGGAGACACCAACTGTTTTCTCTGTTCTACGAAAGTGTTTCACTAGAGAAGTCTGAATCAGTATGTGGGGAGCTCTGAGCGATAGGATTAGGCATAGAATTTAGTATTATTGGCGTGATATCACTCCTCGTTGATGCAGACGAAACTACATCTTACCGATTCCCAACTTTATGGAGGCTGGTGCTCAAACTGCGTAAAACAATATCAAGGACCAAGAATTGTTTCGATTCGCAACAGGCAGATCGCTGATGTTACCACGATATACAGGCACATCCAACAACAGTGATCACTTTGACATCTGCTTCGAATCGGTAATGGCATCAGTATATCCGCAATTCCGGCTTTTGCCACCCTGTATATCCCAGCACTGTCATGACACATGAACCATTCAGTATGCCAAAAATAATTCTTCCTTCGTGTCTGACTATTTGAAGGGGCCTGGTGCAGCTCTGTGGGGGCCAATAGAAGTACTACGAGCTGGTACTAGATGGGAGGATCTGTCGACGGGATGCACCCAGTCTGGGTACTACTAACTACGTGGGACGATGACATTGGCCAGGATCCGATTTGCGGAGGGTAACCCGGGGACCCCGCACTGGACCCAGTATGCTTATGCAGGTGCTATGATGATCTGGAAGAACAGTCGAAGGCATGGTGGGTCTACTAACTACATACGAAGGCACTAAAAAGTTCAATCTGAAGGGTATGAAAAAAGTCTGTATTCAAACAGTATGTTCAAGGGTCATCGCTGAAAGTTCGACAAATGCAAAACTATGTACATCAATGCTTCGTATCACCAAATCATGGCAAGTCTTCTTTTTTTTACAACTTCTCCTGAGTCTTGCTGGCCTTGTTGAAACGCTCAAAGGAAGAGACCGGGGGAGCGGAGTTGGGGTTGGGGTGGTGCTTCTTCAGAGCCATGGTGACGTTGTACTCCAGGTCGAGCTGGGCCTTGGGGTCATCGGTCTTGGGCTTGAAGTCGACAACCAGGTCGTCCTTGACGGCGAAGACGGAGTCGATGTCGAGATGAGGGTCGTCGGAGGGGTAGATCTGGTTGATGACGGTGGCGTAGTCGGGGTGGGTGATCATCAGGTGGATGTGGGCAGGACGCATGGGAGAGCGGTCCATGAGGTTGAGGAGGACACCGGCGGGACCATCGGTGGGGAGAGAGTAAGGAGTGGGGTGGTAGCAGTACCAGTTGAACTCGCCCTTCTCGTTGGAGCGGAACTTGCCGCGAAGGTTGTTCTCACTCTGGTTGGGGTCCTGGAAGTCGTACTGGCCGTTGGCGGAGGCCTGCCAGATATCGAGGACGGCACCGACGATGGGAGCGCCAGTCTCCATGTCCTTCAGGACACCGTGCATGTAGGTGACCTTTCCGTTGGGGTTGGGGTCCTGGATGATGCTGTCGCCAAGCTCACGGAAGGGAGCGTTGGGAGACCAGAAGGGGCCGAGAATGACGTTGGAGGTGGGGGAGACACCGTCCTCGGTGACGATCTTGTTGGCGATCTCATCGACGAGACTGTGCGGAGATAAAGGTTAGTTTTTGAGTTTGGCGCGATCGCTGTTGTGTGGACTTACGATTCCAGACCGATAACATCGCAGATACGGTGGCACTCGTTACGGATGGGAGTGCTGATCTTTCCAATGGAGTTGATGAACTCAACACCAAGCATCCACTCAGCGGAGGTAAGCTCAACCTCACGAGCGAAGTCGTGGATGTGTCTGATCAGGGCACCAAGGACCACACGAGCACGCTCGGGGGTCTTGGGTCCCATGGAGTTGACCACATAGGGAGTGAAGTTAGGGTCGAAGCGGCGGTTGGTAGACATGTTGTCTGTGTATGTATGTGTGGTAAAAGGGGAGAAAGGTAGAAGAGTAGAAGTTGGAAAGAGGATGAGATGGAGAGGAGTGATGAGAGACAAAAATCCAGCGAGGTCTGGAGGTCTATATACACGGTGAATTTGGTCGTGGCAAGTCTGGATAGAACGGCGAGCGACGGCAAATCGATCGGCTACAACTCCGTGTGGGGACAGTGCGACGGTACCAGACACCCAAAGTTACCGTTGCCACATGCCGACGGATCTGATGGGTTGCATGATGCGATGTTTCAGTTTTCGCAGTTCGTAAGTGGAACAGCCGAACGACGGCAGGTTGCATTTGCCTTGCCGAATTAGCAGGATTACCTGCATATCAAAATCGATAATTGATTTTGATATCAAGCTGCATTGCTGCGCGGTGATCCCGGGGATGCTCTTACCCGCGGGTAAGTGCTCCCTGGCTTCCCCAGTCTCTCCGCCTTCCTATCCGGACTGACTCCTCCTCGACGAACTGTTTTTCCGCCCTGCTATTCACCAACCGGCCAACAGCCTTACTGGAATTGGTTGATTAGCCCCTGGACCAGGAATTCTATGCACATTACGCTCTTTAGTGTGGACCAATCAAGTTGATTCAAGTAGTAATCCTACTCTGGAAGGCAGGTGAGCCTTCTGACAGCATATCTTTGGTATCGATGCTACAGCATACAATTATTTATGGACACATAAGATAATCTATTTTCATAGCCTTTCAACTCTCCTCATTGACATAGAAAGACACAAAACTCCTCTCACAATCAATGTCCTAGCAAATCTTTCTTCGCCCAAAAATTCTGCCGGCAAGTCGACGGCTGGCAATCCGGGGGCGGGGGCGGGGTGACTGCCGGGGGGAAAAACAAAAACCTGCGCTCTTCTCCAAAAGAGGACAGCGGTGTGTCCGCCTTTACTTTTTGACGGTTACTGATTGGCGCTGACCCTTTCCGGCCTCGAAGCCGATATGAGGCCGGCATCCGGGCAGGACCCCGTTGCCGTTGGGCACGTGCCATCCTTAATCTCGGGATTGACAAGCGGGGCGGCATACCGATGCCCCGGGAAGTAGACCCCAGGTCAACCACGCTGTTGTGTAGGGCAGTATCCGGGGTGGTGATTAACCACGGCTACCCCTGGATGTCGTACGATGGTAAGATTGCGGGAGTGGATCTACCCTCTTCCCTCTCAGCACGGCATCGCTGCCGACACCTTGATTCACTCTTCCGTCGAGTGTCGCGGATGAGCTACCGGTAGAATCAACCTTCCATTGCCGTGACAGGATACTTCCTTTACCACATCAGACCATATTGTGTCAGTAGTAACATAGATACTATTCAATGTTTGAATCAATCTAGTTAGTTTCTGGCAATTGATGCATTCCAGGCCAAGTTGAGCAGCATTTGTAGTGTAGCACATGGTGTCAGACCAACTTTCCACGCCGGCCCTCACATACACTCTGTTCGGATAGTTTCATGCCAACTGACAGCTGGTCCTCCCACAAGCTGTGCTAAGTGCTAATATGCCTCAGGCGTTTGATTTCATTGGAGCACATTTCCCGCCCTGCGATCTATGCTTCAAGCCTAGCCACGTGCAGCCAGCTTTAGTGGTGTGGATCAAAAACTTACCATTACACCACAAATAGACACGAAGGACAGGCATGGTGTCAGCGCCTCTCCTCCCTGGCTAGCCGCAACAGGTAACCGAGGAACTTTCCAAGTCGTCAAAGCTTCGACACCTCATCATGCCATCCGTTCTTGACAAGCGGATCCCATCAAGGGACAAACAAATCCCCGGGAGTGGGTGCTAGGACCGTCCCGATTCCTTCCCCGGATATTCCCAAACCTTGTATACATGGATACGTCTCCGGCAGGGACCAGGCTAGGTCATACTTGCAGTAGTCAGCTCACCTAGCACCTTCTTGGCCACCATCTCTGGCGCCTGAGGCACCAACTGGACTTTAATACGGTCTAGACTGGGCTCTGCACGCTGTTCGACTAGTCCTTCCCCAGCTTTAGCACGGGCCGTTCCTGGCTAATAGTCTATTGGTGCAGGCCCTGCAGCTGGGGACCATAGTACGTGGCACGTCCTGGTTCAAGGTTCTTGGGGAACCGGTGTAGATTTCGCAACCAATGTCGTTAACCGCAGAATGTGCGGAACTCGATTCTTATCGCTCCAAATAAAGGATATTATAAGCTTCTTCTGGACAGGACTATTTTTTTCATGAGCCAAATTGGGTTCCTGAATGTTGTACGGCAGGTTTGGACGTGTCTCATTGCGGAAGCCTTCATCTTGTTTTCTGCTCATAACAGATCTTTCCACGATTCGGTATAATATGAATTTAACTCAACTAGAGTTTATGAAAACTTCAGTAGGCAATTATTTCCTAGGATTCCTTGAAATGTGTCCGACGGGATTGGCCGGTGTCGACACTTAGCTGCTGGTGTTAAATGTACTATAAGGATATATATTTCTACATGTTACATTGAGCAGGAGACAGAGAACACCACCGACTTGGAACATTCATGACAAACAAATATAAGAAACGCATCAGTACAGACTATTCAGGCGTTGTCTAACATGAATCATTTATCATTTAAATAGTCCAGCACAATAAGTCCCATTTCTACTACTTGTGCGAAAGATGTGACTCGGAATACATATGCCTCAGGCATGACTGCTTTCTGCGCAACGCCAAGAATGGTAAACCAAGGGCAATACCAGAATTGCAGGATATAATTGGCCGCATAGTTAGAATTCACGATTCTGTTCCATTGGCCTCGTCTCATCCACAAATCAGTCCCAATTTTGCTCCTGTCCTCCCATGGTCACCTCGTTGCCGATGCATGGTACATTGTTCCTCCGCTCCGGGCAGTCGGTTGGGGTCAGACCCGATCCTGCCCGGCGCGGCAGTTACGCTAACCGGCGACGCCCGGCCACTACAGGCTCGGTAGTTTGAGGCGCGTCAGCATCCGTGATCTCCTCCTCTTTGGTTCCTGCCCGGCTTCACTTGTCTCCGAACTGAAGACTTGGTCCTACCAGCGGCCACATGCAATTCTATTGGACACAGTCAAGGTACGATGATCATGCGTATGGTTACATTCACTATCGATTGAGCAAAAGCTAACTTACCTCGGGGTTGGCCGTAACAGTGACTTAGCATTCCTCTGATTCGCACTCCCCTCCTATCGATGACGCTGATCTTGGCCACCTACGGACAGCTTCTCCGCACTGGCTCTCCACTGCCCCAGCACCACCCCGGATTTCCACTGGCGCATCCATCCATTGCATCTAAGTAATGATATCAAACTCGTCCCAATTTTTGGGATCCCACACCTCCAGCGAGCATCATCACTCAATTAGATCGAAGATCAAGCTCAATTCACCATGCCGCCATGTGCGTTCCAGATACTGTTCGTCGATCCCCCGCTTGGAGAAGACGCTCAAGTAGGCCCCTGGCTTGGAGATATATTCATCTCCTATTTAGCTGAATCGATGATTCCCCAGTAATTTGAATCTCTGTCCTCCAATGCTTCACAATTACCATAGAGAAAATGCCTTCAGAACAACTCTCCATTTTCCCTTCCACATCAATGTCTTCCACCCCCAGCTCCCAGGAGAAACCCCCAACCGCTGAACCAACCCTCGTGAGAACAAACACTTCCACAGCAACTCCCAATGACTCCTACCACTTCGACTTCGGGCCCCTCGCCCACGTCAACACAGCAGGAACCATCTATCCCGCCTTCGCCGGCGAACTCCAACCCGGTCTCTGGAAGCCCCAGAAGCGTCGCAAGATCGCCAATCCCGCACCGTTAGGACTATGCGGGTTCGCGCTCACTACATTCCTCCTGGGCTGCATCAACATGCAAACTCTGGGAATCGCCACACCGAACATGATCGTCGGCCCTGCTCTCGCATACGGGGGTCTTGTCCAGCTTCTCGCGGGCATGTGGTACGTACATACCTCCCCCCCAACGGCAATCCAACCTAGCAACTCAAGTCCCCCATCAATGTCCATGTCCACTAACCAATCAAACCAGGGAAATGGCCGCCGGGAACACCTTCGGCGCAACCGCACTCTCCTCCTACGGCGGCTTCTGGATCTCCCTATCCATAGTCTTCACTCCGGGCGGATTCGACATCCAGGGCGCCTACAAAGCAGCCGATAATGGCAGCATGGGGATGTTCTACGACGCATTCGGATTATACCTAATGGTATTCTCATCTTCACATAACGGCTACCACGAAGTACTAATGATAATCCAGGGCTGGTTTATCTTCACCTTCCTCCTCTGGCTCTGCACGCTCAAATCGACCTACGTCTTCTGCGCCCTCTTCGCAGCCGTTGACATCGCCCTCCTCCTCCTAGCAGTCGGGTATATTCACCGCACTGCGCCGGAGGTGCCCAACGCGAAGATCATTAAAGCTGGTGGGTTGTTTGCGCTGCTGGGCGCCTTCATGGCTTGGTATGTTGCGTTGGCGGGTATCGCGGACGATAGTAATAGTTTCTTTCTTGTTCCTGTGTTTCATTTCCCGTGGTCGGAGAAGGGGAGGGAGTCGAGACGGAAGGAGGGGGAGAGTGGGGAGAGTGTTTGAATTGATTTTTGATACCATGTTGGGTCTGATGGGTTATGGCTTTACTGTATGTTTGTAATGAGTGAGCGTACGGGTGTTTTTGGGACTGGGACTGGTTCTGTTTTTTGGCTTTACTTGGGGATGGATATTTCAGGATGGACGTATAGATAGGGATATGATGGAACTTGGGCGCTTTAGATTAGCACTTGACTTCTTACTTTCTTCTAGTTGTCTCTGGGTATGGTATTTAGGCTCGCGCATGGCTAGACTTATTTACGTACGGCACATCTCAAATGGTATCGACCCCTCCCCAAACCCAGCACTAATTGTATGTATATCGAAACAAGCATATTACACATCACCCCAACTATCTACATTCCAATCCTAACATACCCACACAACCAACCACTTGAGGGGAAAAAAAGCAGAATCACCACACCCTAAAATACCCACCCACGCGCCTTCACCGCGGCATCTCATAATACATATCCAACCGCCGAATCTCCTCTGCAGTCAACACCGCCCTTCCAGTATCCAAATCGGCAGTGGCTGGATTGCGCCACTCAGTTCGAAAGACAATCTTGTACATGACCGTGGCAGTAATGATCAGAATGAGTCCGATGGTATACGAGAAGAAGTTATATGCTGAGAAGGATTCGTCGATCTATCGTCGATTAGTTAATTCATTAAAAAAAATGGGGTTATGGTGAAGGTGTGTGGTAGATAGGGGGCATCTTACTGGCTTGATTCCCAGATAGAGAATACAGACGAGAAGTAATGTTGAGATGATAAGGGCAGTGACCGGGCCTAGTGGCCATAGGGGGGAGTGCCAGGCGTAAGCTGGACTTGTTAGGAGGGTGCTTTTCTGTGCTTTGATGGCAGCGCGGAAGCGGAACGAGGTGAAGGCGATGATGGCCCAGTTGATGAAGAAAGAAGCGCTGGTTATGGCGATGAGCCAGTTGAGGACTTCGAGACCACCGGCTAATCTCAATTCATTAGTAATGCTAAGGGAGGGGGGACTTATTGATGAGGTATAACAGGCACTTGGGGGAAGGGGGGCTAACCGCTCAAGCTCATGTAGGTAAGTATGACTGCCGCAACGGAAGTAATGGCAAGTGCCCATCTTGGACGACCCTTTTCGTCGACCTTGGCAATGAACGAGGGTAGTAGGTTCTGGAGGGCCATAGTGCGGAGAATGCGGGATGGGAGGAATATGCATTCTAAAGCGATGGCCAAGATCCCGATAATTAAGCATGCATTAATTAAACTGGGAATACCTCTGATTCCTGCATCTTCGACGGCAATCACAAAGGGGGATGTAGTCACACTGGAACCGCCTAGGAGGCGTGAATCGTCTGAGGGAACAATGATCGAGACAAGAACCACAGAAACCAGATAGAAGACTGCCACTCGCCATGGAACTAGATTGGCTGCATGTGCCATGGAGTAGCGAGGAGATTCAGCTTCACCACCCATGACTCCGATGAAGACCTGGTCACCGGTGCCCCAGATAGCAAGTAGTGCGGCGTTGGCGAAGCCCTACATTGAATTGCTGAGTTAAGAGTGGAAGAGGGTGTCGAATCGGATGTACTCACTCCGAAACCGTTCTTAAAGGCCGGTAGGTCCGTCCATGTGCTTCCGTCTCGCACATACCCTGATGGACCGGCACCACCGATTATCGCCAGCGAGATTATGGTGATAAAGAAGAATAGTAGCACCTTGACCAGGGAGCCGAAGTATTCAAGCCAGCCAAAATACTTGTTAGGCACCAAGAACACCGCCAGACAGAAGACCAGAAATATCGTGACTACCTCAGTTGTAAGCAGGTGCCGTGCGAGTAATCTGGAAGCAGACTCACGCAAAGCTGCTTCAGGAATGGCTCCGGAGGACCAGAAGCCCACTAAAAGCACGAAAAAGGTCGCTTCCGACGCAAACACAGACGTCCATCCTGGAAATAGGGCGAGTTCAGAAGAGCGTTCCGAAAAGCCTAGTGCCTGTCTACTCACCTAGCCATTCCGCAAGGCCAGCACCAAACGCCAATGCTGGGTCAACCCATCGATCGGCGTAGTCGATGTAATTGCCTGACGTGGGAAAAGCAATTGTCATCTCAGCCAATGTTTGCAGGTTGGCCCAGACTCCGATGCAGACGATTAAATAACCTATGAACATGTTTCCTGGGCCTCCCTCGGCCAGGGCCTTCCCCGTCGCTATGAATAAGCCACTTCCGACATTGGAACCCAGGGATATTATCTGTTTCAATAAGCATGTGTCTGTGGCGAGGGGCATGCAGACATGGGAGCGTACGTGGATCAGCCGTGGGGTTAATGTTCGATGCAATGTCCCAAATCCTTCCACGTCGGAGTCTATCTGACCTTCATCCACTGAGCGTGTGGGCGTGAGATCTACTGGTTTCTCATTGCACACTTTCGATGAGCTTCCTGGTCCATTGGTATCTTTCAATTGAGAGTCCATTGCAGCAGGTCTAGTACTAGATTGACTTATGGGTCATTAAATGAGTGCCAAAGCGAGGAAAGATAAAGAGAATCTTTAAATAAAGGTGTTGCATATAGGGTATGTCGCTATCGGTATGTTAAGTCGGTCTCGCCTTCCCGACCCAGAATCTCCGCACTGATAAGAGGCAAGCAGCGGTCGATCCGACTCGCTCGTGACTTATCGCTGATCAGCCAAGCGGGATTCAGATCTTTTCAGTTGATTGCTGCTAAACCATGGGCGCTATTAGCAAGATAAGGGGTGTCGCGGGTACTCGTTCCGGGTTAACTCAACACCAGCACCCGTAGCTCAGCGGATCTTCCCAGGATTCGAGTCCACGGAATGTTCTGCATTCCAGGGAGGCCTCGAACGTGCCATCCCTTCTGGACAGCTTCGAGGGCCACTTTGAACATACGGATGCAGGTGCCCTCACCAGATCGTTCTAGCCATCTAGTAGGCCTGTCTCGTCTGAGGTTCAATGGCTTTACACGCTGCGACAAATCCCGGCCAGCATGTATTCGAAGATCGACCCCCAGCTATTTGCTTCTGCTTGTCGAACTCAGAGAGATGATGAATCGTCTGCTGAACGTAGGACTGTAAAATTGTCGGGTTTATGCCCCTTACGCACCGATAGAAGTAAATGATCAAGGGCAAGGTGGTGTCCTATCACAATGATCTGTCAGTAGATTGCACCTTAAAGCAGCTATCACCTCAAGGTAATGCCGCTAAACAAAGGCTTCCTGCGTGCAGATAGCTCTTCCCAGGCAGTCTCGTGGATGAGGCCAGTGCGAGGAGGTAGCCAACGCAGGCGCGGTGGGTTCGATGGGCGCTCACAGTCGAGCTTCTGCTTCTCACACATCAAACACCGAGGCCGCACTCGGTCGCATCTCACCTTTCTGGCTCGACAGCGGAAACAGGCAGCATGGGATGCCTTGATGTGCCGTCTGTATCCTATTCTGAGTTGACGAAGGCTCAAGCAAGGCTATCTCGACAAGTCAGTCAGTCAGTAGTATGGTTGCGATATATGCACTCATGATGATTGGCTGTTCATGCGGGGCTTTACCCATGATATGTTATCGCCTTGAGACACCCAGTGATTGATTTGCCATTCATGTCCGTCACAGGACGGCCAGGTGCGGAGAAGCGCCTGGGATGATTGGAGATTGCGGCTCCACCTGCCAAAACAGCCTGGAGATACTCCGCTTCGGGGTCACATATTTGAACCAAACTGCTACCGGAGGAGATAAGAAGCCATCAAGCCGCTCAAAATACGGAATTCCATCGAGTTATAGCACCAGCACAGACTCCCTCTGCAGCTATGACTGTCAAGCAACCCCCAATCCGACGCATCGACCGGGCCGACGTGGAGGCCATCATCCAAGCTATCATCGAGGATGGCTGCTGTATCATCAAGGATTTCACCGATGTAGCGACTGTAAAGCAGGTTAATGAGGAGGTACAGTCCTACCTTGATGCCGACAAGCCATGGAAGGTAGGTGGACTGTCCGGTCTAATCCTTGCATGTCTAACAACATCCAGGGTGACCTCTTCCCACCCGAAACCCGCCGCTGTGCGAACCTCGCAGGTCGCAGCAAGACTGCCCGGGAGAACTGGCTGATTGACCCGCTTATTCGTACGTTAACAGCAAGATTCGTTGACAAGACGACTTCCAACTTCTACGGAGAAACGAAGCATACGTATACCAGCGAGGCGATATGCTCGATCGCGATGACTTTCGACATTGGCCCTGGCGCGAAGGCACAGCGGCTTCATCGTGACGACAAGAATTTTCATGTTGATCATGAAGAGCAGAGCGCTACGGGCTATCGGGTGGGCTCGGATGTGATGATGGCCTTCATGGTTCCCGGGATCAAGACAACAGTCGAGAATGGTGCCACCATCGCTATCCCCGGTAGTCACCTGTGGGGATCCGACCGGGCACCCAAGCTGGATGAGGCCGTGGCGGCGGAGATGAATGTGACCGACTGCTGGGTGATGCTGGGAGGACTGTATCATGCAGGGGGTGCGAATGTCACACAAAACGAACGACGGGTGGTACATGGCATGTTCTTCACGCGCGGATTCCATCGACAGGAGGAAAATGTTTATCTTGCCAACACAGCTGAAGAAGTTCTATCTTGGTCTCCGGAGGCTCAGAAGGTGATGGGATACGAGGTATCTAGTCCCAACATTGGCTTTGTTAACTTCCAGACCCCGCTTCAATATTTGCGCGGAGAGGGAGTCGGGGACGCATTTGTGGACTTTGACCCTTCCCAGGAGCAACCTAAATGAGTGGCCACTGATCCCAGCTGCGTAATGTGTCGTTGCACTGCAGCCATTAGTACAAGTGGTTTTTGAAGCCCAGTTAGTCTCCGGTTTGAAATAACACTTCTGAGATTATTCCTGATCGGCTTTGGGTATAGCGCCTTCTGAACAGACCGCTGTCACTGAAAGCGACAGTATGCGAAAGAGTAGCCAGAGTTGAGACGTGAGTACACGTAAGCCATTCATCTGGGAGACAGTCTCACTTAGATTAGCACATGCCAACTGGTAGAGAAGTCTAGAAGGCGTGAGATCGTGCCACGACAGCTATGTGTCCGACTAGTGTCAAAATGGACGACATAGGCATCCCTGTTCAGGTCTTGCTCCCACAACATCTCAGTGAAACCCGAGAAACCCCAGGTAACCGGGCACCGGGTAGCTGGAAATTCTTGGCTTCGTGATGCCCATGTCGACATGTACAAGGCAACAGACCGCAGGAGTGAGGCGGTCGGTCTCCGTATCACCAACTCAAGGCATCCTTCCACCTGTCTTGGGGACGTTCTCAATGACTTTGCCACTCGCCAACTCGGTGGATAGGCAACCGCCGCATGACCGACATTCGCATCGGAACGATCCGACAGATGCGTCCCAACGTGCAACGGGTGAACGGGGAAACTACAGGAAGGCACATGGTATGACGCCTCTGCAGAGACGAGCCGTGGGAAATGCATCCGTTACGCATTGAGGTGAGGGGTTGTAGCGTTCATTGGCCTGCCGCGAGTTTTAGGTTACCACGCTAATCAAGTGGATTGTTCTGGACTCAAGTGTTTTTGTAGTAGACACTTTTACCCGTCCATAGTGGCTTTTTAATCTGACAATCGCCAATTGCAAGGTTTCAGATGTGATATAACTGCCAGTGATCGAGGAAGATTTTGGTATCGCTAAGATTCTCGTCAGATGCCACGATTGCAGGGACGATGGGCAGGGAACGTTCGAAAAGACATGCGACGGGCTTTGAGAGCAGACACCGAGGGGAAATCGCATGTAATACAAGTAGCCCCTTCTGTGCTAACGGAATCAGTCATAGAGCATTGGCCTTGAGTACCAGGAGAGGATGGATCACGAGCCGGGTAAACGTTGGCGGTCAGACTCAATGGCACCACTTTGTCCATTGACGGGATTCCAAGGAATGCAGAAGAAGGTCAATCCCGACGAAGGGCGGGGAGTGGACCCATCGGACTTTCTTTGATTACGACCAGCCTGGAGGTTTTTCAGTCTCAGCCTCGGGGATGGGAGAACAGATTCTCCCCACTGATGACTAGTAGCTATTATGCCGGTGAAGCTTATTAACAAAGTCTGACTGGTCGGGGTCTAAGCCCGGCCTTTCCCAGGCTGGCGGTGTTGTCCTGGGGGGAAACTGGGAGTGTGGGAGTGTGGGAGTGACGAACAGGGGAGTGCATATGATGATTCTTTTGGGCCGTGCAGAAGTGCGCCGTCGGACGTGGGTAGCACATCCCCTATGCAGGTAGGAGGTTGGCCCATCATTCGCATCACCGTCAAGTGCAACATACAAAATCAGTAAACAGTCAACGCGGGACGGACACCCCGGGGCTTACCCAAAACAGTAGGAACCCTCAGTTGCAGGTATCTCCACTGTGATGGGGGGGAAAGAGACCATTCAGGAGAGGAAAAGACAGGAAACCAGCAGAACGGACAGCCCCTGTTGGTGAGATGTTGGGAGGGGGATCCACTTCGTATCGCTGCAGAATGGTGGATCCCCGGCTGAGTCTGAGGGTTGAGCGAGACTCACTCACACTGACTTCGGGAATTGCGAACACCCCGGCTATCTTCGTCTGGATAGGGAAATAATGGGCCCGCCCAAGTCCATACTTTTGTAGTTAACTTTCAGCTGGCACGGCCGCACGTCAAAGCAGGGAAACTCTAATATTCGTTCAGGGCCTCTAGCGAGAGTCTATAGGCGACAGGTACCACCATATGCTGTATGACACCCAAGGTCAGTTCAGTTAGTGAGTGGAGGGCAAAATCCCCGGGCCCGCACAGTTGCGGGAAAGGCCCAAAGTTGGCAGAAAACCGGATTCCCGTCATGGTGCCTTGAAAGTGCCTTTGGGTGCCTTGCCCACAATGGCCTCGACCATGGGTTTAAGGTTCATTTTTCGTTATTAAACAGAGTTAAGGGAGATTTGTCATGGCGATGCGTGAATCATGCACAAAGTACTTTACTTCACTTTACTTACGGGCTTACAGCAGCCGGGCGGCCGATCCGCCCTCGTCCCCCCCCTTCAGCCCGGCCAACCACCAACATTGGATTCTCGCTCCTCGCGTTGCAGAAAGGCAGCGACTGCCTATCAGCGGGGTTCATTCTTCAGTGGTGCTCGAATCGCTGCCGCTGCCGTCCGTCCAGCCCTGGATGTTCACCAATTGATGCTCCAACTAGAGGCCATAGTTCGCACGGGCCCGGTCCACTAAAGGGGGCCTGTCAAACTCCACTGCAGAATCCGTGACCGGGATTTCTGGCGCGGACCCAAGCCCTCGGGACAACTATGTTTGTCGGTCTGTCTGCCTGTCTGTTCCCCTGCTACCCACAAACGACTATCTAGATATATCTGCACGTCCCGTCAGGATCCTCACCGTTTTGTGATCTCCTCTTTCCTCATGTATCCCCTCCTTTGGCATCATGGGCTTGATCCAAGGCCTGGTGGCCGGCCTTTCATCGGTCGCTGACTCCCCTATTGCCTTGTGTGCTGTCTTGACAGCAACCTTGATTGTCTACTCCGTCGGATTAGGAATCTATCGGCTTACCTTTCATCCCTTAGCCAAGTTTCCTGGTCCCAAGCTGGCTGCTTTGACATACTGGTATGAAACATACTATGAGGTTTTCAAGTCGCCTGGGGGGCAGTTCCTGTTCCAGTACCACAAACTGCACGACAAGTATGGTGAGTCACGAAAATATGGGTAAATCCCTTCGCAAACAGCACTGGCAAGCTGACATGGCCGCCACGATTATCGTAGGACCCATCGTTCGCATCAGCCCGAATGAGATCCACATCAGAGACGCGTCGTTCTTTGAGGAGATGTTCTCCAATTCCCTGCCATGGAATAAGCCAGAACATCTCCAGTATCGCTTTGACAATGCGCTGGGCACCTTCTCGACCCCAAAGCATGAGGCTCATAAGCCCAGGCGCGCTGCGCTCAATCCGTTCTTCTCTAAGCGGGCTATTACAAATGCTACCCCCATGATGCAGGACAAGCTCTACAAGCTCTGCGATCGGCTTCGTCGGGAATACCAAGGCACTGGGAAGGTTTTACGTCTCGACTGGATGTGGGGGTGTATTGCGTCGGACATCATTGTTCATTACTGCTTCAACGATGGTTATGGCTTCATCAATGCCCCGGACTTTCGATCCGTCTTTATCCAGGCCATGTTTGACTTACTCGACATGGTGCATGTTCTAGTCCAGTTCCCTTGGGTGGGTGTAATTCTGAATAGACTGCCCCAGAAGTTTGTGGAAGCAGTGAATCCTGGGCTGAAGTCGATCAATCATTACAATAGGGTAAGTCTCATATACAGGTACACTATGACCCCAGCGTCACTGCTAACCGTCACAGGAAATGGCATCCCAGATCACGGATATCCTCCGAAGCAAAGAATACGGGACGATGAAAGAATCTCAACGTAAAACCGTCTTCAACGCTCTGCTAGAAGGCGGTTTACCACCTGAGGAGCTGACGCTGCGACGACTCCGCGAGGAAGCCTTTACCGTCATCGGAGCCGGCTTCGAGACCACGCGATATGCTCTGGCTGTCGCCAGTTACCACATTCTCAGCACGCCGTCGATATACAAGCGCCTGCGTGAAGAGTTGATAACAGCGATCCCCGATCCGACCAACTTTCCCCCACTGAGCGAGCTAGAAAAGCTCCCTTACCTGACTGGCTGTCTCCAAGAATGTGCGTCTCCTTTCCTCATGCTTCACTGCCGAATACCCGTATCCTCAACTAACATGACACCTACAAACCAGGCATCCGCATGTCCTACGGTATTGTGCAACGCTCACCCCGCGTCAGCGACAAATTCCCCCTCATCTACAAGACGTGGACCATTCCTGCGGGCACCATCATCAGCATGGACAACTACTCAGTCTCGCACGACGAAGCGATCTTCCCCGATTCGTTCACCTTCAAGCCCGAGCGCTGGCTCGACGACCCCGTCGCGCCAGACGGGCGGAAACTCACGCGCTATCTCGTCTCGTTTGGTCGCGGCACCCGCTCGTGTCTTGGCATCAACCTCGCTTACGCGGAGATGTACATTTCGTTGGCGAATGTGTATCGGAACTTTGAGTTTGAGCTGTTCGAGACGAGCCGTGAGTCGGTGGATGTCTATCGGGATATGTTTCTGCCCCATCCGAAGCCCGGGACTCAGGGGGTGAGGGTGAAGGTGTTGTAGGGATATTAGAACTGTACAGGGATGGATGATGATAGGGGTATATATAGAGTTGCAATATACCCTATCAAGTGCATGAGTAGCTCAGGTATTCATCATAAGTGACCTATACCCCACAGGACACGTCGCATGCTTACCAACAACCTATGACCGAAACAATCTAGCGCACATATAACATCAGGTATTACGCACAGGCCACGCAAAGATTCGAAACACTACAGACTATTATGACCATCTCCAGTACTTCGTAATCCATGTATACTTCACTAACAGCCCCGTCGCTTCAACGCTCAACATATCCACCTGTTACCCCGAAACCAAAATTCCACCTCTCCAAACACCATAACTATGATATCCATAAACACATAATATCCACCCGTCTATGCCATCCCGTACATAGAATAGATCATCAGTAATAGCCCACAAATCCCCGATACATCCCAAACAAACACACCACACCGATCAGATTACATCAAGCCGAATACACACACGTCCTGCATACCGCGGAACGCCACACTCGATATATATCATGTTTGCTTTTTCAAAGGCGGGAAATAGCGCCAAACCTTA